TATGCAATGATTGGCTCCTAGAGCCCCTGGTACCCATGTACCAGGTATTACAAGAGTGACTGGTCACTCTTCATGTAACTTGGGTACACTTGGGGTTTGTACCCCGTTACAGGTGTGAAATACACTTGTGAAGAGAGGCCACCATTACCGTAAAGTCCGGATTGATTGAGACATACGGTTGAGTGCAACGCGCGTAAAAAAATAGAAAGGAACAGTATACAAAACCCAGAACAATGGTACTTTTTACCACCAAAATGTGCCGGGTTTATTTTTTTTATATTGTTAGGCAAAGATCTTTTTACGACTGTCTCACTCAATCCGATCTCTGCTCACAACTTTATTTTTTTAAAATTTTAAATTAAGATGCTATGAGCTCTAACCTTGAATTAACTGTAAAATTTGATGAATAATTTAAAAGATACCCGGTCTTTCATTGGCTGGACCAAGATGTGAACAATGAACTACATATATGCGTCAATAATCTGTTATGCGGTTTACTTTATCCACTTCCTTGTATTTTTGTTCGATGCGCTTTGGGAAAGACCCACTCACGTGGGTAATGTATGCCTATCCTTTCTCTGTGTGACTACGTCTAAACTCTCATCCTATTTGCTTATATCTTAGAGCTTCGTGAAGCTCTTCGGCCTCCATATTCGCTGCGACTTGCACGATTTTGAGGGGTTACCCGCTAGCCACGCATGGCGGTGGAAGACGGCAGGACTTTGGCGGGCGCGTCTGCTGACAAAGGCCCAATGTTGTGGGGTGGTTGCTTCCATCGTAGAACGCTCGGATCGAGGTGAGACTTCAGCAGATTGTAGGGTTACTGGAGACGCTTATCGGCGTGTGCGGCAGTGGAGCTACTGCTAGACGACGGCACGGCACTCGTCAAGGCGGTACTATGGGGGGAGGGGGTCCACGCCCAAGTGGCGCTGGGAGATCTCGTCCACGTGGAAGGAAAACTTAATGTGGACAAGAACTGGGACGCAGTAGAGCAGTCAGTGGATAGGAGCGAGCACTTTTGGTCAGTGAGAGAAAACTCACGCGTGTCTTTCATGTGCTTAGGTCCCGAGAGCTCCGGATCCTTCGAATCTCGAAGGTGGAAGACCCGAATGAAGAGCTGCTGCATTGGGCACAAGTGATGGAGCTGGAGAAGGCCTATTATTCTACTACAGAGGAATCCTTCGACACATCAGTTGGGGCTGGCGGCGACGCCAATGCTGGAAAATGCTGGGAGGGTATTGCCACTGAGGCGTTTTTCTGTCTTACCATCGACCCCAGCAGTAAGCAGCAGTTTCTAGGCCGACGCGACCGTGATATTCACGATGACATACTGCTAGAGACTCTCGAGTCTATTCTCCATCAGCAGAAGACGAGTAGCACCAAAGAAGTCATTGCTATCACTTTCAGTGACCACATCCGTGGAGGTGAATGTGACGTGATTGTGAGTTTGCTTTCTCTTAGTGTTGAACTACGTTTATGCTGATACACTTACTTGCTGGCTTGTTGCTTCCATGGCAGACGAAGGGAGAGGCCCAAGCGATCAACAAGAACAATAGGATTCGAGCATTACAGTTTGTTTTCCGGAGGCTACGTCGTGCAGGATTATTATTCCTGGAAGACGACCAGGCTGATCGTCATATTTTGCTAAGTTTTGAGGCTGTTTTGAAGCCAGCGCTTCTGCAGTTGCTTCGAGGTGAGCTCTGAGAGTCAAGGATACATGGGCTTGTTCTTCCTCGACTGATCATTACTCCCTTCCTACAGACTACCCGCAAGGTCGCTCTATTCCAGAAATCGCAGGTGCAATACTGATCCAGGACCAATTCAAGTGCATCCCGCTGCATTGGATTGAGACCAGCCTCGGACATCTTGTAGCGTCCCAGTTAGTAGTCCAAAGAGAGGAGTCGCAGCTGTTCTTTATCAAGTGACGCAAACAAACTACTTCGAAATACCTGGCTAACTACAACTACGATGTCATCGTTCTTGCCTCCAGGTAGTATACCCACGCTGGAAGTTCCTTTAGCTGCGGGCAGGATACGAACAGTTTGCCAGTCTCGCTTGTCCCGCCCTGTGCCGTCTTGTCACTTGTTATTGCGGCATCGACCTTGACAGTGATGATTTTAGACGCCTTAGCCGAGATCGACAGCGATGTCAATGACAGCACAAATCGTGGGTTGTCGACCATGATCTCAAACTCTTTCGGAGTGGAGAAAACGTTCTTGAACTCAATGTCTTGTGTTGTCGAAAACACGTAGGGGCCTTGGGGTAGTGGAGGCACTGAAAGTCCTTGCAGCGTGCACTTGTACTCGCCAATAGTATCCGAAGAGAGGGTGAGTGTGTCATGGAACTCGCCGATAGCTTCAGGCTCGAACTTGACGAGGATGGACTCAGCTTTCCCTTCCCAGGACGAGGATCCTTCCACCTTACACGTTGCTGGTACGGAGAACGATGTTGGGTTCTGAACGGAGCACGAGAGCTCTGCTGCAGCTACTGCGTAGCTTGTGAAGGTGAATGTCTGCGCTTGAGAGCCACCCAGAGGAGCTTTGAAGTACAAGATGCGCTCGGGACCGACTGCTTGAGTGGTCAATACGAGGTTGTACGTGTACTCGCCGAGTTCCACGAAGCTGATAGTTAACCGGTCCTCAATGGGCGTCTCCGAGTGCAGCGTTGGTCGGTATTCAACCTCATAGTGGCCTTCAGAGCGTCCACTGATGTCGCTGAGCTGTCGCACTCGAACAGCAGGACTGGAACATTTCCACCAGTGCACTTTATCCACAAAGTTGATCGGACGTTGACTGTCAAAAGGATTCTCGATGGCCACCATCTTCTTGACAGACTGCCGGACTGGAGCCTCAAAGTACAGCGTGTCCACATCAACAGCCTTCGAGACAGAGACATTGACGTTTTGTACGAGGTATTCCCCACTCTCTTGGTTCACCATGCGGACACTCAAGTTTACAGTTCCTTCAGTGTAGCAGAAGAACTTCATATTGTAGTTCCGCGTCACACTGGCGTGTAGTAGAATTGATGAAGGTCCTTGAATAACGACTGACTCACTTCCTGGTGGCTTTTGAATCTCGACAGCTAAAGTTTGCGGAGTCTTTAGCCAGTTCTTGATAGGAATCGATATCGACAAATTCTTTTTCGCAGCAGTGGGCAGAGAGATTACTGCAGTGGGTAAGGGTGCCGATGCCTTGCCGAATAAATTGTACAACAGTGCGCTACCGTCAGGTATAGCGAGGAAGATCGATCCTTTGTGAACCACAGGACGCTGTTCATCAATTTCTTCTTGAGAATTTTGCTTTGTCATGGTCAGTGGAGAGTACAACACGTCGAGATTGGCTTTCTCGTGTGCAGGGACTAACACATTCTCTGGACACGACCAGTGGTCACCCTGAACAACTGGGAACAAGTTCCAGGAAGACGCAGTTGTGTTCTCGATCACTATAACCTTGTGGGTTTCCTGTCGAACTGGAGAATCGAATTGAACGTCTTGAATCGACGACGTTGCTTGGGGAACACATGAGCCCACCAATGTCAACATAGCGGGAGCAGTCCCCTCGATCAAGCAGGTGACTCGTTCATAGCGAATGTCTGGATTCACAGCCGCCGGTTTGAAAGTCACCTCGATTAGCTTGTGCTGATTGGGAGCTACCATACCTTCAGAGGGCGACACTAAGAAGTCAGGGGCAAACTCACGCGTGTTCCACAGGAATTTAGTGGCGACATCTCCACGGTTCTGCAGGCGAACTTTTCTCACAAATTGGCTACCAAGACAGACTGGTCCGTACGAAAGAGTGTCAGTCTCCAGTATCACTTCAATGCCTTGACAACATCCCGACAATGTGAGCAGCTTCTTAGAATTTCCGCCCGTACGAATGGAAATATCTTTCTGAAAGCTCGGAATACGCTGTGTCGGAGCAAACAGGAACTCAATATCGGTGCTTTCTTTTGCTCGGAGTGATATTTCTTGCTGTGGGAACACTGAAATACCCAACGCATCGAGTGAAGGAACTCCTGGTTGAGGTGAGTCCACACACTCTACCACAATCTTTCGCTTAGAGCGGTTCGCGATCTTGACCGTGCGTAAAATTTGCTGGCCGATCTGTAAATTCCCGAGAACAACCATCTGCATGGACGAGTTGACGAGCTCAACTTTAGGGAACACGCCTTCTCCACGGATGCTGACGTTTACAGTAGATGAACCGTTGATCGTGAATGGAATCACCTCCAGATACGCTATTTCATGCCGCGCTGTGAACACGATAGGAACGCTGACAGTCTCTCGAGGACCCAAAACGGTTGGAGGGCAATCCACGCGAAGATGGGGCTTCTTTTCGAACAAACAATCCAGATCGATCCCGCTCTCAAGGTCCATATTAAACACGGTGAGCGTAGCTGTCTCAGCCATTGGAACTGCGTCGTTTTCGGCGATGAAGCAGGGACCGAAGTCGTGAGACGTGAACGAGAAGTGCAACATGGGAGGAACAGCATTCCCATGCAGTGTTAGCATGTAGTTACGAGTACCAGCAACAGTACAGGTCACCTGCATCCCATCGAGAGATGTTTGCTTTGTCGGAGCAAAACTCAGTCGGCATGAGGTCTTATCGCTCTTCTTGATCGTTCCCTGCATGGGGTCAATGGTGAAAGCTGTCGATGCTTTCGTCACCGTCCATTTGAAGTCGAAATTGAATTTTCCACTGTTGTGGATCACCACAAAGCGTTGCGCTTCCTCGTTAACACGCACAGCTCCAAAGTCCAGAACGTTGCCGGGGGCTGGAATTAGTGGCCGACTTTCGTTTTGGTCGCCGGATGTCAAGATGAGCGCATCGTGAATACTGTAACCCTCTCCTTTAACATTCAGAGACAGTCGAGTAGGTTTGCGCTTGACAATACAATTCAGGTTGAAATTGTACGACTTTTCTTCCGTCGGAATGAACTCAATCTCGATCGACGTTCGATTGTTAGGAGGGATCACTCCACTCAGAGGATGCACAATCAGAGCAGGGATTTCGCCTGCAAAGTCCAGTGACGTCTTGTCGAAAACAAAATTGAACGGGATATGCTCCTGGTTGACCAGCGAAATGATTTGAGAGGTCTTCGTTCCAATCATCAGGGTGTTAAAGTTCACACTTCCACGATCCAGTGCCACTCGAGGCTCCGTCGTCGTACCAACGAACAAGAATAGCTGACTAACCTGGAAGTGGGGAATTTTGAAGTACCAGAACATTTCCTGGAGTTCTAGTTGCTGCGGAGTAAACTCAAAAATCATCTCACAGCGTTTACCGGCGAGCATCAGGCCTTTGGGTGTTGCACATCGGAAGCACGGGTTAGCGTCTCCTTGCGGTATCCATGAAAACTCGTACGACACGTTCGTCGGGTTAACCACGTAAAAGCGCCGCGTATTGCGGACACGGACACCAAGAGACTCCATTTCGATAACTTTGCTCGAAGGATCTAATGGCCCCAGCTCACCGTGAGGACCCGGGAGGTTGGGGGCTCTCCATTGCGCATAGTCACTCCTTTCCACATCGAAATGACAAGCAGGTCGGAGAGAACCACCTCGAACTTCCACTCTAACCGCTGTAACTTTATCCCCTTGGTTGTCTGGGATGTCGAAACACAACCAGTAGAAATATTCATCCACCTCCATCGGAGAGAATTTAATTGTGAATGTTTGAGATTCTTCGCCGTTAATTGTCCCCGTTGAAGGTGTCACCTCAAAAGGACAATTGTCGTCCACCTCGGGACCAATAATCGGATAGCCACCCACATCAGACTCTCCACCAAGTCGTTCCTCCCACCTGCACGAATACACCAACCGGATTTTGCTATTGTTGTGTAACGTGATTTTGTGCGTACACACTTGAAACATGAAGGTTTTGCGGAATGTGATAGATGTCATATCACACTCAAAATTCAAGACGTCAGCCGCAGCAAAGCAGCTCAGCGATACGGTCGATGGAGACCCGATTGTTTCGTAGTCAGGTTCTACCACTGCTTGTTTAGCTCCTGCTTGTCCGTCGAAAGAAATCGTTTGGATAGATTCGTCCCAACCACTTTCATCACTCATACTGGCCGAGCTGCTTTTGTGCGAGATCCGCTGAGATTGTAAAACGATACGATGGGCCTGATAAACGATTGCTTTGTCCCCATCCCTCGGCTCAAATGTCGCTCTGATCAGCTTGTGTGCTTTTGGCATGAGATGGCCAATACCAGGCGAGAAGTGGAATGGATCTGCTTTAGGCCACTCGAACCGTACGACATCGGAAGACTGGTTACACAGCGAGAACACCTTCGTGTCTTTAAAACTTAGTGCAGTCTCACCTAAGGATAGTGATTCCTCCTTGGTTTCACTTTCGTCTCTCAATCGAATATCATCAAAGTGAAGTTCATCATCGTGTCCACGAGGCAAGTCTTCGAGCACTAAATCTTCTCGATATCCAGTCCCAAAGAGCTTGAAAGTGGTCTCTTCAAAGAGGTTGTTTTGCACGGTAAGTTTAAGTTGGGCTGCTGTTGGCTCATCATGAACCTTCTGCGGTCGGAACTGCAGGGTCAGAGTCTCGGTAGCTTTTGGAGCCACTACTACCGACCCATTGCCCAAAGCGAACAGGAAATTGGGATTGGCTTGAATAGAAAAGAGAACGGTCGCTGGTAGAATTCCATCGTTGCGCAGTGTTAAGCGCATATCCTTGGCTTTTGACGTCCGCACTCGACCAAAATCTAACACCATCGCACCACTTGAGTCTCGAACTGTTGGCTCCGTCACCGTGACACAGGGCATTGTTCCTTCGCCACGCATCTCGAACTCGAGAAGTTTATCCGCCATGTTACTCTGAGGAGGACTATCATCAACTACCGCTTTAAACATGGCATGAAATAAAGCGATAGTAGATGGGCGGAAGTAGACATTCACAAATCGGTGTTCAAGAGGAGGAATCTCCCATACAGATGGCTGTACCGTGAACGCTGGAGAGCCTCCTTCAGACTCACCAGCACCAGAGCTGCTACTTGTAATAGAAAACTGAACCGTGCAGCTCACTTTCATGGGATTCGAGATCTTGAAGCGCTCCACTGTTCCTTTCCAATTTGCTGCTGCAATCAATGGACCAAACGAGAAAATCTTTTCTTTTTCCGCAAATGTGACTGCCTGGATACTGCCAGATAAAGGAGCTTTACGAAGCGATGGCATTGGCGTAGCTGAGTCAACTCCCAAGGAACGAACCACCGTTTGCTCCTCAAAGATGCTCTCGTAGTCCGTAGTGTTAATTCCTGGGTAGCAACTCTCACCAATCAGTTCGTACATCAATGTATTCGATTCTGCTACGTCCTCCACATTACGACCAGAAATCGCAATCTGAAGCGTCTCGCTATATACTGCGCAGTCCTTCGGCTGGAACACTACATCCACTCCCATCGTAACACCAGGATCGACAGTGCCACAGTCTGGAGATATTGCAAACTGGCCTAGTGACAACGTGGAGGGAGACAGTGAGGTATCGATTGTCAAAGTCTCCGCCTTCTCCCTTCCAGTCGCTGGCTTTGAAGCTTGGACGCGGAACTTAAACTGGAATTCGCCATCGTTTCGTATTTCAATCCGCTGGGTTTGTGCCGGGTCATTGTACTTGTGAGGGCCAAAGTTAATTCCGCGGTTTGGCTGCAGTCGAAACTTGCTGAAGACAGAACGGGCGCTCGTATGGACGTAGAACTCACGGCAAGCTTCGCCCGTCAACATCTCAATGATGGTACACTTGATATCCTTGCAGTCACGGAGCGTAACTTCACTCTTAGACGTAAACGTCACATTGACTGATGAGGACTGCCCTGGTTCCAGTACCATTTCGTTTGGCTCGATCGTAAAATACTCGCGTGCAGCTGCACTCCTAATGCCGATGATATACTTGATGTTGTATTTGCCTCGATTACGTATGTTGAACGCTCGGGAGTGCTTCTCTCCAACTCGAACCAGACCAAAGTCAAGATTCCCATCATTAGCAACCGAGGCTGCTGCAGCTCTAGGCGTTGCTTGCCCAGGAACTTCATTGTCAAAAGAGCTCACATCGATCTTGTACGCTTCACCACGTAACGTCAACTCAACAGTCCGATTCCGGTCACTCACTTGAAGAGCGCTCTCAACATCAGAGAACTCAATTCGAAGTGGGAATTCGTGGACAGCCTCAGTCATCGCCGAGAAAACAACCATCACTGCAGTTTTCTGCAAAGGTTTGATAGTCCCTTCGACGGGGAAAATCTGGAAATCTATCGGTAAGTTTTCGATAATCAAACGCCACGAGACAGCAACTGGTGACATGTTTTCGATATAAAATGTTTTTTCGTCTTGACGCTTCAACAAAAGCTGTTCAAAATCCAAGACTGGTTGTTGTGAGAAGTGAGACGACACGGCAGGTTGTTCCACATAGGATGCATTGGATCGAGACGTGGCTGGGGCGCTTCCTGGGACGTTGGAACGTGAAGATCTAGGAGAATTAGTTGTTGTGGTGTCATCAGTACCAGCAGCCTGATGATGATCCTCACGTTCTGATGTACTCGCCGCTGCTGGTTGTTCCCACGGTCCACGCAGCTTTAACTCTGGTATGCATCCATAACAACTGATCTGGAACTCCACAGGCTCAGGATTGTCACTAATACAGCAAATCAATGCGTTCTCATGGTGACCATTCTCCAAAGGATTGGCCCACACTTTGACTTCTCTAGTATCACCTTCTTTAATCTCAAGTGCAGGAGGAAACACAGCAAACGTGTCGTCTCCTTGCTTTTCCATGGCAAACTCCAGTTGAATAGGAAACTTGCTGTTATTGGACATCCGGAACACTTCGACATTGTTTGGACTCGTTTTTTGCCACTCGATGAACTCTTTTTCGGTTTGTGGAGCTTTCACCTGTTGATTTGTGATAATTAGCGGACCAAACTCGAACTGGTTCCTCGAGATCACGAATCTCTTGTGAACAAATCCTCCTTCTGGACGACTTTTTACTCGGTGCATGAATACATTTCTCGGGTCGCTGTTTATGGTCGGCACACCGCAGACTCCACGCCCGAACAAGGTAAACTCACGTCGGATGCCTACGATTTCGAACCCCAGACTGCAGTCGAAGTTGCCAACGTCAGGTGAAGCGAACTGAACCAGCATGTTTACTCTCGAGTGCGGGGCAATAACCCAACGACAAGTGGGAGAAGAACCGCGCGTCTTGGAGGAGTGCACTCCGGTAATCGATGATTGAAGCGCTTCCGGCTTTTCGATGTTCTCTGATGGTCTTTCAAAGTGCTCTCCCGCCTCTGTAGTCTGCACGTGACTTGGATTCTTACCAGCAGTTTGAGGACGAGACGGGTGCTTACTTGGTATCTGGGAGCGCGATCCACTGGGATGAAGACTCTTCTCACTACTGGATTCAGACGCACTTGATGATAACATTGTTGGTGACCGCAACGAGAACCGAGCCACTCGTTTGCGAGGAAACCTCTCTGGAGGCCTCCGAACCAGTTGAAACTTGGCAGCCGAAGGGATTGGTAAGTGGCTCGACTCCAGTTCTCGAATGAATTTCTCAATAGCAGAGAAAATGACGCCGTGAACAAGAAGCGGTGGGCCGCCATCTACGATGGGAATGTCCAAAATGAAGTTGTCTGGAGTAGATCGGTCTTTTACTTGTGTCCACAGAACATCAGCACTAGCATCTTTACCGTCCGAATTGAATTCTGGTTGGGTAAAACTTTCAGATTCCATTTCTCGAACTATGAACGAAGCCAACTGGCGCTTTATGGTTTCCAACGCTAGTGTATATTCCGCAAAGGTTGCAGGTTTGAGTACTTCTGCGGACAGGGACCGTGTCAGCTCCTCAACGTTGTCTTGAACAGCAGTATCCTCCTCAAGTAAATTGTTAGATTCATCTCCAGTGGGCACATCGTCGCTAACTGTAACATCAGGATTTAACGACTGTCTTGAAGGGGAACCGGAGAGAGCTTCTAGTTTTTCTGTCTCTTGCGTAATATCCCGGTCCGAAACAGAAGGTTGAATTATTTCACCTTCCTCACTGCGATCGTTTGTCTCTCCACTCCCTCCATCCACATCATTATTCCCAACGTTTCCAGAACTGGCTGGAGCTAACCGATCACGCGACGGTGAAGGCGTCACCAAGTCAACACTGGGACTACTCGTTTGATTCTCGAGCAATGTATTCATTGACTCGTAGCTGTCTTCGTCAAACCCCAGCACAATGATCCGCGCTGATACAAACGCCCTCGAGCAGCATTTCAGCGTTTCTTCAACACTTACGAACGAATTCTCAAAGCCATCCAGAACGCTGCCGCTTTTCAGATCTGGTTGCGCCAATCTCCACAACACAATCTGATCTAACAATTGAGCTAGCCTTTCAGTGACGGATTCCTCATTTCGTGTACTATCTTCAACAGATTCTGGAGTCTCCGAAGGCACAACTTCACTTTCGTCCTTGCCAATACCGAGTGCTTTACGCGTGGCAGTCGCTAGCGGTCCTTTTACTGCGCATATCGATTTAACTGCACCATCAATCGTCCAGATACCCAACGATTCCTTCTCTGCAAGAAGACGCGCCTGTGTAGACTTCCCGCATTGCGGAGGACCTACCACAATGTAGTCAATACCCTTTCTTAGTGCAGGATTAAAGTCCGCGAGGGTCTCCAGTGCTGCATCCTTCTGCTCCATAGACCCAATATCCTCACTCTCTGGCAACTGCGAAGATGACTCAGTAATATTGTGAATCTCACTTGGCTGGCTCAAGTCGCCAAGTGTCTGCGCCACATCCGGTGAATTCATCAAAACCAAACCATTATCCGCCAAATATACCGCAATAGGCTGCCCAGGATCGCGTACCGGCAGCTGGAGCGTATCTTCCGAGTTGAAAGCACTCAGTGACCTGAGCAATTCTTCATCTCGCTGATAAACCGCGTCAAAATCCACAGAAAACACTTCAATTGGGTATTCCGAGTCGTTGCGTATCTCCACTAGTTGTTCCTCTGGTGGAGCACAAGGGAGCACAGGACCCAATTCCACTAGAGGCGGCGAGAAGGAGATGCGTAATTCCGATCCTTCTCCGCGACAAACAATCGATCGCGTCTTTGGATTTGAGTTGATTTTGATCGGGAGCTTCAACATGAACTGACGTCCGCTATCCGGGATAAACTCGATTTGAATATTCACTTTAGCCCCCGGTGTTAATAGCCCACTTTGCGGAGTAAAGCGGAAATTTCCCACATCCTTCGTAGACCCCATCGGCTTCTTGAACGCCCACTCAGCAGGCACAGCAGACACGTTCTGCAACTGAGTAAACACGGTGTGGCATGTACTTACGGCGATCTTGCCGAAGTCGAGGCTTTCTGTAGAGATGGAGATATCCGGCACCGTGACGAGAGCTCGAACCATTGCAATACACGGCGGTCCGTTCTTGATCACAATAGGCAACTGGGCCATGTGAAGACCCATCTCAATGTTCTTACGGGCGTGAAAGGTGACGCTAAACTCGACAGACTGCTTCTCGGGCAATCGCACCACTCGCTCGGGCTCAATCTGGAAACCTCTGGAGCTTGCCAGATTCTTGTCGAGTTGAAACGAAGCAGGACCGTGACCGATGTTGGTGACGCTAAATCGTTTGATCTTGTGCGTCCCCACGACAACATTCCCAAAGTCTAGTACGAATTGGGACAGAATGAAGGGAAACACTTCCGTTCCACATCTCTTCTTGGCATCTGATGTGGACGAAATAGGTCGCAATGGTTTCCTAGCAGTCTTAGTAGTCCGCGTGTCTTCCGCTGGGTTGTCATTACTCGGTTCAACACTTTTCAATGCTCTTGTGTCGGCCTTTTTCAATTCTTGTACGAGGAGATAATCTGCAAAGAATAGGCGACAGGCTTCGATTTCAATGTCCAGCTCATCAACCGCTGGTGCCGCTGTACCGCGAGACGGACTGCTTGGTGCTCCTACGCGTTGACTCGTTGTCTTTGCCTGGGGTGACGTTGGCACTGATACAGCAGAACTTATCTTCTCAGTTCCACGATGCGTGGTTGACAAGGTCGACTTGGAGTCTGATAAGGCCAATGCAGCGTTACTACTAAGGCTCTGACTGCTCCTCGCCTCCATTATCGCCGAATTCAGCGTTCCATGTTCAATACTTTGCTTTGCGCGCTTTTTGAGCTCCTTCCACTTGGGCGCTACCCCACGAGCAACACTGGCTGGGTGGGCTTCACGCGGTAGATTGAGAAACACAGCGGCAAACTTTCCACTGCCTAAGAGTTTGAACGGAATAGGCTGGAAATGCGCGATCTCAAGCACCACAGTCTCTTCGAAATACTCAGGAATGCCAGGACGTAAGCGAACCAGAATCCTCTGCTTCTCATTGGGGGCGATCTTCCCACTGGTAGGCGAGATCTCCAATGTCCTCCCACAAGCGATGTTATCGATCACAATATTGAAAGAGAAAGGCACTTTACCAACGTTCAAGATGGAAAAATCCCGATCTTCCGTCTTGTTGTAGAGAACTTGACCAAAGTCCAGCGACTGTCTGTCCAGCTTGTAGACAAGAGAAGACGCCTCACCCAAAAGAGTTAACTCGTACTCAGGGCCACCTTCCACTTCACAAGCCACAGTACTCTTGAACTTCCGGTTCGCATGTCCGTAGTAGACAAAATCGATTTTCTCGCTCTCGTTGGGCTTCAGAGTCCCACGAATCGGCAGGATATCGAACACTTGGTTGATAGGAACGTATGGCTTCTTGGCGGTGGCTGTAGACAAAGCCTCCTTCTCGTCTTCAATGAAAATCCACCGAAAACTCGTGTCCACTTTCGAGACGTTGGTCACGTTCATACTGATGGTCTTTTGCGTATCGTTCAGTGTGCAGCCAAAGTCGATTTTGGTCATCTCGAAGGAAAGATTGGGGAAGCTGATGTCGCCCACCAGCTCCACACTGTCCTTCTGTGGGTGACCCGTGTAAGACACGAGCACTTTGCCATTTATGACTCGACAAGTGTAGTCGTCCTTGAATCCCGGATAAAACTCGACGTTCAGATCCACCTTCTCGCCTGGTTGTAGCACTGCCTCCCAGCAATCGAGTGCAAACGGGGTCTGTGTGCGAAGAGTGAAAGATAATGGAAGCTCGCAGGCATTCGTGAGACTCAGCGGTTGCGACTGCGTTGTGATCTGGTTACCAGGGTGATGAATATACTCAAACGACAGCAACGACGACGACGGAGTGAGTCTTGGGTCGATAAAGTTTGCCCGAATAGCTGTGACAAACGCAATTCTGTTGACTTTTTCCTTCCCCACCCGCGTCTCGCACACCAGTTCTTCTTGTATAAGTCCGGCCGTCGATGAAAGACCCTTAAACACAAAGATACAGGCTGTACGCGGCTTCAGCTCAATCGTCCCTGGGAAGACCGAGAAGACAGGAATCACTTCGTCTCGTCTGTCAGCAGCGCCACTATTCCCACTGCGATTGCTGCTACTCGCTTTGCTTGACTTGGCAGTTGATCGGTTCTCCTGTCCAGTTCTTGACTTCGAGGTCCCCTGATCTGTAGAACTGAGTTTACTGTTAGCAACTGCGACCGTTTTGTTGATCCAGGTGAGCATCTGCACTCGCTTGCCCTTGTTTTCAAGTGTACAGCTCCATTCACACTCTTTACTCGTCATTTGGTGACTGAAATCGATCACTCGAAGTTCACTCGGCGACCACATAGTTGTTCCTGTTCCTCGGATGGACAAGGGCACGACGAGATTGTCTCCTTCTGTGATCAAAATGTGCAGTTGGTCCTTAAATACCACAGTATCATCCAGGTTGGCCACAAGCACGAAGTCTAGACTTTCACCCGCCATCAGCACGCCTTCTTTTTGATCAATCTGGAATTTAGAACGTGCTCCGCGAATAAATGTTTTGTACGCTGCCGGGATCAACGACACATTAGTCATACGTAGAGTCTGCTCATGATCCACAAGACACGAGCAGTTCCCCCAGTTTATCTCCTGCTGGTCCAGTTCAACCTTTGGACCAGATCCAGTGGCGCTAAGCGTCACAGACAGCGGGAGATCAGTGCTTCCTGGCACGGTTATCACCATTGGAAGGCGAATACTGCCAAGCTTTTCGCAGGATAACGAGATCTCCACAGACACGCGCTCTCTTGGACTAACACTGCCAGAGAACTCGCTTGCGCTATACATGGCGATGGCACGAGAATGATCATCCTGCTCGCCGATCTCAAAGCGTCCAAACAAGTGCGATGACTTGTTCTCCAAGACCAGCATCTGTTTGTGAGGGTATCGAAGGAAGCATCGACCGAAATCTAGCTCGTGTTGGAGGACAGTTATCTCCGGAACGAAGCACTGAGCGCGCACTGGAATACTCAGTAAGTCGGCTCCAACACCGGGGACGCCAACGACAAGCTGGTACTGATACACCTTGACATTGTGGGACGTAAAGCGGATCGTGATCTGCTGCTCTCCGTACGCATCTAGCTTCCCTTCGGACGGGAGCAATTCCAGCTCTTTTTGCTTATAGTTGGCTTCTTCCGGGACGCGCAGAGAGTACTTCATTGCGATCTTCGAGGCGTTGATAAGCTTAACCGTCCGACTTTGCGGGAAAGAATAGGAGACCGCACCAAAGTCCACTTGGTCCACATCGAAGTGGAATACTGGAGGGATCACGTTGGCCTTAAAACGCGCCGTTAATTGCTCATCGGATCCCTGCATACCGAAGCGAATGTGGTGGAAAGCTTCCCCCAGTTCTTGAGAGCAGAAAGTCACCTCAACCTTGAGCATCTCGTTGACTGCCAGCGTTCCGTGACTAGGGTGTACAGTGAGTGAAGTCCCCGGAGGCAGCGTCAACGGGATGAGCTCGAATTGAGCTGGAATCTCGCCCTTATTTTGAATGGTAAAGTCTCGCGTACGCTCGTCATTGATGAACACATCACCGAAGTCCAGAAGCTCGTTGTACACGACTTTGGCCTTGGGACCAATTCCCTGTCCACGCAGTTGCAGTGGCAGTCGAGCTGCCTGTCCAGCGATTTCCAGGAACGCACAGCAAGAATACAAACGCGCTACCTCGGGAGTGAAGCACACCACAACGTCTACCTCGGAATGTGCCCAGACCCGTCCACTTAGTGGCGTTATCGAGAAGCACGCGTCTACAAACTGCATTGACTCGTCGAGAGTTGCTTTGCGTAGATGTTTGTACTTGGTGTCCAGAGTCTTTCGCACGTCAAACGGCGACTGTGTAAAGCCCGTGTCGACATCCTCAACTTCTTGGAGTTGCAGATTCAGCTGCTCACGCTCTGCTGTCTCCATCCGAGCCAGTTCTTCCAGTAGATAAGAGCGCTCGCCCTCCTCTTGAATCGAATCTGTAAAGGATTTCCATGAGAAATCGAGCGTGAACTCGGACTCGTTGCAGATCTTGACAATCTTGCGCGACGACAGCGATAGATAAGTCGCGTTGGGCTCCACCAGTGGTTGACTCAAGAAGACATCGACGTTCACCACGCGACCTGATAACTGGACGACTGCTACTTGACCGCTGTCGCCCTTGACCTCTAGCTCGCCATCACCCGAATCCAAAGTAGGCGGAACCAGACTCAACTCAATCTGCACAGCTTGTCCCTGTGCCAGCGTCGCACTAGGAGGAGTCACTCGGAAGTGCTCGCTCGTCTGGAAAGCGAAAGAGGAGCCGCGTGTCCCCACGTTCCGCACAGTTAGGACGCGAGTTGTGGGCATCTTGACGGGACAAATGCCGAACTCGAGCTCGTCTGGCAAGTCCAGTGCTGCAAAACGTCCACGCACTCGAACAGGCAGCAAGAAGCACTCGCGTTCGGTGCAGCACACGAGATCGAGTGAATAATCTGTGACTTCTTGGGGGGAAAACTCGAGGACGAAGGCGATCTCCATCCCTGCAGCCACTTTGCCATCCACTCGATCAGGTTTAACGGTTTTATCTTTATTGGTAACTCCCCATGGTCGAACTCGGAAGATTGGAGACCGTGGAGGCTCAATCTTGAGGCGACGAACGACGGTATCGCAGTTGCGGAAACGGAGCTTGATGCTGAGCGGCTCGAATGGCGTGTACTCGTCGATCCAGACTTCGGCTGGCATGGCCTCAAACAGAGGCTGATGCAGAGGCACAGTGCTCGATACACGCGTCGTGTGGTCTTCGGCATTCACCAGCTCTATGATCCGACTCGTCGCGTGTTTGGCGGCATTGGCCTTGGCTGTCGAGAAGGCTGTGAGGATCTCACTCGGCTTCTGTTACATGGAGCACACAACACACAGAAGGTAAAACTTAAATAAACGATTCACAGCCGTGGGTGAACCAGATCAAACCGTACGAGACGCTTGGGCATGCCTCGCACTTGAGAGAGAAAGCTCTTTCTAAGAAGTTATCACCAGTACTAGGCGCGATCGCTTTTGAGTCAGCTTGACGTTGCTGGCAGTGAAGAGGCACCACAAGCGACTCGCCAAACGGGCGGCACAATAGCAAAATAGTAGCTGCTTCCAAGCATGAGCAATGGCGTTGCAGTAGTGATGTGTAATGAAGGCAAAGGCTGTGATCGCCACGCAAGGCAGTGCCTACGGGAAGATCATCACCTACGGCATACTTGTAGGAGGGTGGCAAGGTTACTCAGCTTACGAACATCTCGTACTGGGAGCCCCACCATGGCAGCTTTATTGTCGCCCTCTCCAGCTGCGAAAAAGCTGCTGGATATCGCGAATTGTCTCCAAATCGTGTGATCAGTCTCGAATTTCCTTCGTGACGTCACAAGGGGCATCTAGGAAAGAAGGGAAGCTCAATCAGCATGGCTGCTCGCGTCAAGGAAGTGCTCAAGCGCTACGGCCGCACCGCCTTCCTCTTCCACTCGACAGTCTTTGCTTCAACGCTCGCGGGCTCGTACGCTGCCATCAATCAGGGCATTGATCTACAGGCGATTGCCAAGCGCGTCCCCTTCGTGGACCTGTCCAGTATCGACCCAGATGCTGGCACGCTGGCACTCGCCTACTTATCGACCGTAGCGACGGGCCCGGCCCGAGGTGCGCTCACTATCGCCGCGTCGCCCATTCTCGCGCGTCTGCTGGCCCGTAGCCGCCAGCTCACTAAAATGTAGAAGAGAAGCAGTATTTCAGCAGCTTAATGCACCTTCTTACCTTCCTTTTACTTGTTGTTATAGTGTGCATGTTACTAGATTAAAGTACTGGAACTGTCTGCGCATACAGTAACAGGATGAAGGAACGCAACGCATTGCTCTCTTGTTCGATAGCCAAGTCTAAACTACGGAACTCTTTGCTGGTCTCGGCTCCCTATCACTTCTTCGACATGCATTGAGGTTTTGGGAAGAAGGGCACTTGGAGCTTCGTGTCCAGAGGTGCGAGTTTAGGCAGTTCCTCTCCATCGACCATGCTCGTGTTTGAATTTGCAGCAATGCTTAGCCATGCCAGGCTGAGGTACGAATGCATCACGTCTGGAACTGTATCGGGGTACTTACACAGTCCGCCAAAGGGGAATTGGCACGAGTAGATGAACTTCTTGCAACTGGGGATATCCACGAGCGAGTGTTTGCCTAGGAGATTGAGAGTCGCTCCATTCCAGAAGGCGTAGCAGGAGTCTGGGCTCTTGTTGCATCGTCCCTGGAAACCTCCTTGCTGTCGGAACGCCAGCCACCGTATCAGCTCCGAATGCTCGCACTTGAGCTGCATCATTCGTCCAGACAGAAACAGCGACGCGATGGCAACAAATACAGCCCCACCATGCGATTCAGCGCCAGTACTGAGTCCGATGCCTCCGTCATAGTTCTGCACATAGCAAAGAAAGATCTTGTCAGTAACGAAGAGCTCCCAGAGTGTCAACAGCACCTAAGGACCATACCAGACACGAGTTGATGAAGCGCACCATCGCCGTCAGGTCGATACCGGACCAGTCTTCCAGAATGTACGAGATGGCACAGGCGCAGTAGACGAAGCGCATATCCTCTTCCGACCCAGAATTTGCAGACGAAAAGCTGCAGAGCCACCGTCAGCACCAGATTTTGTATACACCCCCTCTAATGATGTCCCTACCATCCTGTCTTCTTGTTCTGTAGATGCTTTAGAGATCCAATGATTGCAGCCTTGTTCACTCTACTGAGGTCGTCCCCGAGCGTCCGAAGGATGCAGAGCGCCGCGAAGGTCGATGCGATGTTACTCGAGTCGTACACTTCGCTCTGATACTGGGACGGTGGGCAACCGAAGGCATTTCCCATGAAAGTCCCGCCCCGGAAGCCGCAGTCGCCCGCATTGAGGCTGGCATCACGGCAATCCGGAGGCACCTGCAGACTGTAGACCCACTCAATGATCTGGTGTTTGTCTACGCGCTCCAGCTCCTCCAGCAGCGCCAGTCCGTGGATGCAGAAGAAGGCCAACACTACCCGCTGCGAGTCCTGGGACGCGTACGGCGCAGGCAGCGACCGCAGATTCTTGAGGAAATAGCGCGTATGCAGCTCGTGGTTGAATGTCGCCATCGTGTAGCGTGTAGGAATATAAAAAGTGATCCTTCGCCCTGTAGCGTTTTAGGAAGGGATCAACGTTTGCAGTAAGGACTGACAAGTCAACTGAGTGTATCAATGCAGAGGAAATTTATTAGTTGAAGCTGCTTATTCGATCTGGAAGACGGCAGAGTTGGGCGGGCCTGACATGCTCTCGTCGTCGTCTTCCGGGCGGCGGATTCGGAAGTCGAACTTGACGTTCATGAGGCGCTGGTTGTCGGCGCGACGCATAACGGCGATGTCACCAACCACTACGTCGCCCTCGCATACCTGCATGGGAGGGTAGAGCGGGAAGACCTGCTGGCCCCAGTGTGTGGGCTGCACGAAGGGCGACGTAGTGAGCGTTACCTCCTTCTCAACTGGGTTCTCAGCGCAACCCTTGAATTCGACATCGAACCAGCCAGCGATGCCACCGAAGCGTGACATGATGGAGATCGGCATGGTAAAGGGAGCCCTGACCTCCTTGATGTCGTCCAGCGTGCACGTCTTGAGGTCCCACTTGGCGAACTCAACTTCGTCACCGATGAGGTCTCCAGCATTGAGCTCCTCCCACGACGACGTGTGCAGCGAATACTGTTCCTGTTCCTTGCGGAAAGCGTTCCCTAGCACGCTCATATCAACGCCCCACGAAGCCTGGAATCATTTAATGAGCAAACATTCACAACAAGTTAGCATCAGCAGGACCGACATTTAGAAACTGCTTTTCTCACCTTAGTGTTGTCAACGAAGCTTCTCCATTGATCCATTGCCGAGGAGAACTCGCTGAAGCGCTTGTTGCTGTTGTCCTCATTGCACATGGGGGCGATGGACATACTAGCATGGGAGGGGAACATGGCACCCTCGGGCTTGAGCCACCGGTCGCGCGCCACGATGACCGAGTCGAACATGGACTCGCGCAGTAGGAAGTAGCCCATCCATTCCGAGATAACGACGTCTACCTTCTCGGGCAGCTCCACATCCTCGATCTTGGACTGAATGACAGTGATAATATGGTCCTGGTTGTTCGCCTTAATCACCTTGCGCGCCTGTTGTGCTATATCCGTGGCTTCCACGGCGTAGACCTTACGTGCTCCAGCCTGAGCCGCCCAAATGGACAATATACCACTGCCGGTACCCACATCGAGCACAACCTTGTCCTTGAAGTGGTTGGGGTTCTCGAAGATGGCGTCGCGGTAGCTCTGCATGCGCAGATCGTCCGACAGCATCTGCTTCTGGTGGTAGATAAAGGCATACGTGCAAAAGTAGTTGGCAAAGTCCGAGGACGATTCCCATTCCTTCTTCTTGTCTGGTGAGATGTCGCGCGAGTTCGAGTCCGTCATCTTGAGAGGCTCTAGTCTAGTCTAAGTAACAGGCAATGGGGCGAGGAAGGCGAACGGTGGCGGCGTCGTCGGCGTCTTCGCAAGCAACTTGCCAAAATCAGCGATGGCCAACCAAAAGATATTCTAAACAGATCCGTCACTAAATCGAGGAGTGACATCAGGACCAGAAGAGCGATATTCTGGTCATAATGTGCGTATTCGCCCGGTTTCTGCTCCGAGTGGACCTATTTTCTCGTTTACTTGGACTATCATTTTCGATCATGAGGGACGATGACTTGAAGCGAGCATTCCAGACTCTGTGCGTGGACTATGAGGAACTGCTGGACGAGGCGGCGCAGGCCACGCAGCCTGCAGATGAGCGTGTCGGTCTTGCGCTTTTCAAGATTGACGAGGCCTGTGCGGCAGCCGACGGACTGAGGCAGGATGCGGAGCAGATCCAGGAGCAGCTGCTGAGCGAGCTCCTAAACAATTGCCACGAGCTTGAGGACATTTTCTTGCGCGTGAATCTCATCGAGGTACGAGGTGGTTGCAGTAATGGAGGAGAAAGCCGGTAGATATTGACTATGAGTGATTTCGACCAGCGCTTCGTGGGACGGATGCTGCAGACCACGCGGGAGCTCGAGAAACGCATGGAAAGCGTCAGTCGTGCCGCTGGCCCGGTGTTCAACTCGAGTACTAGCGTCACTAGTTTGTTGCGGTCCTTCTCCATGAAGGTACGTTATCTATAATTGATGCGAGGGCCGGATAGGCGAGCTGAGTGTTGTTAATGGTGCTGTAGCGCGGTGCGTCCGAGGCACCTTTGACCGACGGCAAGTGGAGCCCTGTGGCATTCGATTTTAACACAAAGGAGCTCATGGAGAGGCTGGAGAAGAGCGACGCGCGGGAGCTTGGCGTCTCCATTTCATCCTCGTCCGCAACAGAGACAGCAGCGGAAACAGGAGAGCAGCCGCCTCCAGCAGACACAGGCAGTGACGCTGAAGCCGAGTCTGACTCAGACTAAGTGGTATGCAAGCACATGAATAAAATCCGCGATCCAGTGGAGTAACCTGTGCCTACATTCATGCCTGGTGAACCCGGATAACCTTTGGCCCCGGCTGGGTCAGCAAGTTGAAGTGGATAAACGTACTTAGTAGAGAAACACTTGTCAATTGACGAAATGGATGCCACTTGGCGCAATGTGCCGCTGGCGGACGCGTCCGGTTCACTGACTTCCGACAGCGCGCGAGTACTGGAACAGGAGCTAAATGAGGAGCGTTTGGCGGTCGTCACTCTCCTAGGTCCACCGTCCACCCGCGCAGCGAGGGGCGAACTTATGGCCAAACTACTGGGACAGAAGGAGGCTTCTCTCTCCTCAAGTGATGAATCTCTCGTGCTGCTGACCAGCGTCGCGTATCTCGAATTGGATTTCCATGTTCTGGTATTCGACATCAATGCGACGGTGAACACATCTTCAGGACTTGAGCAGCTCGTCGGCGCGTTTTGCGCGCTATCGTCGCTGGTGATTTCGTGCTACGATGAGATCGGGTCTACTCGCTGCCTCGCGCCATTCCTACCGCAGTTCCAGTCGTTGTTCCAAACACTAGTGAGAGAGTTCGCTACAATGGAAGTGTTCGAAATGCTTCCCAAAATGTTGAACATCGACTGGTCCCCCAGTCGCTCACTTGCAGACGCTGAGAAGGAGGACAAAGCAAATACCGCCGAAGCACTCGAGAGTCTCATCAGATTCAAGCAACTGGGGGTCTTTTATCCTCGAAGCATTACACAGATGAACTTTGGCGACTTCTGTGGGGCACACGCAACGGTTAAAAGATTGTTTGGGCTGGAGATGACAGGCGAGATGCTGAGCTCGCTTCTTCGTAAGTTGTCAGCTCAGGTGTTAGAACAAGACCCGCTGGACTTTGGAACTGCATGGGACGACTTTGTGGAGGACAAGTGCCGAGTACTAGCAGAGGACGCGTTGAATACGTACGTGGATTGTGTGCAGCCTGCTGTGTTAGAGCATCCGCCTATGGAGCTGAATGCATTCAAGCAACTGCACGAGGAGATTTGGCGTCTTAGTATGGATGTCTACCATTCAGCGAGCAAGTTTAAGTCCACAAGACACCGCACTGTTCGCAACAAACTCAAGGCAGACATACGCGCACACTACGAGACCGAACTGAGCACTCTCACGCTAAAGTCGCGCGAGTATTGTGAGGAGCTACGACAGACTCTGTGGACTGAGCTTTACTCACGTGCCACCCACAAGCGTGATGGTGGAACGTTCACTGCAATGCTGGCTGCGATCCAAGAGTTTGATAAGCAGTTTAACGAGAAAGCGCGTGGCCCCGAGAAAGCTGCTGTGCTTCGGGATTTCTACCAGCATGAGGCCATTCAAGCTTTCCATCAACTTGAAAATGTTGTGACTCAACAACTAAGCGAGTCTCGTTTGGAAGAACTACGGCTTCAGCTTGAGAAAGATTTTGCAGACAAGAAGGAGGCTCTCGTGGAGCATTTTAAACAAGAGGAAGCCCAGTTGCGCGCTGGAATGGCACGTGATATTGAGACGATGCAAAAGATGCATGAAGCGAAGGCTGCTCGTGTGAAAATCGATGGGAGTGAGACCAAAAGGCTTCGAGACGAGTTGAACGAACTGAAACGTCAGAATGCAGAGCTGCAAGAGAAGGCAGTTGTACTAGAACACGCCCAACAGGATGCCACTAATCAAAAGACAGTGCTTGCAACGAAGGTGGACGAACTGGAAATTGCAGTACGGCGCGAAATGGTCAACCGTACGGAGCTGGTGGATACACTGGCGTTGACAATAAAAAACGCAGAGGAGAAGGAGAAAGCTCTCAACGAGAAAATCGCCGAGCTGCAGCTAGAGCTGGGAGAGAAAACCTTCCGTGTCGAGGGCGAGTTGCAGGACCTAACACAGCAGTTGCGAAAGACGAACGAGGTAAGGTTCTATCGAATTTGTAGTCGTCTAAACCGCTCACTAAACTGCTTCTGTTCGAACTGATATTGCAGGAAAAAGAAGAGCTGCAAAAGAAACTCAACGAATTTTTCTTGAAGGTGACCGCACTACCGGATGCATTACAACAGCATCTCTTTTGCATGGAAAATGATGATAAAGTCGATTTTGCAGACGCCCTAACCAGCTATATGAGTTGATAAGTAATACAAACGGCAGTGGCATCCGACAGGCTTTATCGCCATTATTCTGAGTACGATGCGGGGCAGTTCCGTTAGTCTGAACTCAACTTTCGCTGCCAGTAGTTGTGCCTTGATTGGACCTTTTAAGTATCTCGCTCCAAGCAAGAATGTTGACAGTTGCGACTCGTACAAATCACAGTGGTAAAACTCTCAAGCCATTTGAAGATCTGCATTCTCAAGCAGATCTGCATCCTCGAGCAGTTTTCAATTCCCATTACCTGACAGATTTCTGCGTACATCGCTTCAAGACTGCGTCCAACGCGTCAATGGGATGCTGTTCTTGCATCTTGTAGTAAATCTGAACAAGTACGTGTGCATCTAGAGCAGCGTAGTGAAGCTGAGCTTGAGTAAGCGGGCGTCGTTCCCAGTCTGACATTCGAGCACGCTTATCTAGCGGTAGACCCAAATACGATTCTGCAATTGCTGCCAAGCCCAAACGCGAGGACTTTGCACTGGCATCACTTTCACTGGTTTTGCTGTGCTTGTGCTTCCATTTTCTTTGCTTCGTCCCTGTTTCTGATGCCTCGCTGTTTGCTGCCGAACTATTGGCACTGCTGTTGCTGTCGTTGCTATCCTCAGCTGCGACTTCAGTAGCAGCAGTTCCCTTTTGAGTTGGGAGCTTACGTGAAACAGTTTGCAGATCAACCAGCATCGACATCACGTTCTCAGTGGCATAACCTCCCGTCAAGAATGGACGAAGCGCCTTCACGTCACCTCTAGTATCAAAACCAAGCTTGATCACTGATTCCGATTGAAAGAGCGGAAGTAAGATGCCCCCATGTTCATAAAGAGCCACCACGTCCACGACAAATGCTTTCTCCCGAGATGCCAGTTGAACGAGTGCACACTTCGCTGCGGTATTGTGCGAATTAGCTGAAATGTGCACGGCCTTCCACTCCGAGTCAAACCCAATAGCTGGCTGCTTCATAAGGTGATCCACACATGTCTGCAATGCCGTCGGAGTATCTATAAAGACAATGTTGGCTTCACCGATGGCATCAATCAGCGACAGGCACGTGTCAAGTGGAGGCAGATCGTCTTGGTTTTTAAACGTTTTGCCGTCCTCTGCACTCGTGTCCACTTCAGGGAAATTTGCCGCCAGACCCGCCCGGAAAATGAACTGCTTGGTGTTAGTATCTTCCGCACCGGCATGTCGGATGATCATATTGCAGGCGTAAAACTTCAGACCCTGGGAGCTCTCGACGAACTGCAGAGCCTGCTCGTATTCCTTAGAGTATACCAGGAATCTCAGCGTAGCCTTCTGTCGGCTGTGGAGCGGGGCAATAAACATGTCGTTAGTCAGAATTAATACAGTTGAAATTCTAGCACTTCAACCATCGTACCGTTCGAAGTAGACTGGGAAAGCACTGGCCTGCAACTTGAACAGTGAGAGCCGCTTCTTGATGACTTTATCCTGCACGTTGTCGTCGATCAGCATCTGAACGAATCTTCTCTGGTTCTCTCTGTTGCCCTTAACGAACATGTCGCCCGTGCGGAAGTCCTTCTGCTTAGTAACGGCCTCCAGCACCACGTCGGTCGGCAGCAAGTGCTTCATTTTCATACATTCCATGAAATGTGCGGCCAGTCCCACACGGATCTTGAGCAGTGTAGAGCAGAAAGCGGTGAGAGTCTCCACGTCCACGCGGTACGCGAGTGCAAAATCAGCTACGAAAGGCATGCGAGAGCGCTTGAAAACTGGCAGCATGGAACCAGCCAGCAGACTGTCGGCCAGGGAGACCTGCGGGTCCTTACAGAGCTTCATGCAAGCCACAGCGGTCTCGATCCACTGTGAGATGTAGACCACCTGCTTACCTGGCAGTTGGCCGTAAAGACTGACGCACTGCAGGAAGGACGATGGCGCATGTGGCACCGACGCGAAGGCCAACGACAGCTCCGCCAGCAGCTTTGCGGAGTCCCACTCGCGCATCTGCTGCATTGCGTCCTGCACTCGCATCTGCTCGAACAATTGCGCCAGTGTTTCCTGCGGCTCTGTAGCTGCAACGTCGGAGACAGCATCGTCCAGTTGGTCCGCCATCTCAATAGCGAAAGCGTAATGAGCTGCTCGGGTTGAACAATTGCTTACAATTTCCAAGTGAATTGGTTTTGAGAGGGATCATTATAACTTCAGGATGGAGCGTCACAGACGCCGCTCTCCAGCTCGCTCGCCGCCGCGTCGGTCGTCTGGAGGCCGCACCCGCTGGCAGACAAGATCGCGATCCCGCTCTCGATCCAGGTCCAGATCTCCGATGCGACAGCCCCGACGTGGGGACAGGAAGGAGCGCTCGCCACAACGAGGCCGACGCAATGAAGACAAGAAGACACGTGATTTCTCGCACTTGGTCCAGTGCGTTCACTAGCTGCAGCAATGGGATGAATATCTAGTGCCCTAACTGTTTTTTTCTCGTTGCTGTGTGCAGGTGGGGCAAGAAGGAGGATGAAGAGAAGGAAGACGAACCTGTAGAGGTGGAGAAGCCCAACTTTGGACTCACGGGAGCGCTTGCCAAGGACCAGGCAACGGGCAACATGCAGAACGGAGTGGTCATGAAGTTCTCGGAGCCGCCTGAGGCTCGCCAGCCGACCAAGCGCTATCGGTTGTATGTGTTCAAGGACGACAAGAATATTGGTGCGTTTTATCGTTCAGCTGAGGTTGTCAAAGAGTGCAACGAGACTAATTCACTGGCTGATGATGCAGCGACGCTTCATGTGCATCGCAAGAGCGCGTTCCTCGTCGGACGTGACAAGGCTGTGGCCGATATACTGACGGAGCACCCGTCGTGCTCAAAACAGCACGCTGTGTTGCAGTACCGGATGTACCAGAAGGAGACGAAAGACGGACTCGGCTTCGAGCAGGAAGTGCGGCCGTACATCATGGACCTGAACAGCACCAACTCGACGTTTCTCAACGGCCACCAGATCGAAGGCTCGCGCTACATTGAGCTGAAGGAGAAGGACGTGCTCAAATTCGGCGAGAGCACACGGGAATACGTGCTCATGTGTGCAACCTAGACAGCAACAACAAGGCAAATTCAGAAAGGAAAAACAGACATTGGAAAACACCGCAAAATGCGTTGAGTTGTTTTGGCATTACAGCAGTTTATCTGTGCGCTTGACTAGCACACCAAAAGGTCTGCAGCTGGTCATTGCAGCTGCTATGGCTTTGGCATTGACGCCAAAAGCCCTACTACACACCACAAGTGACCGGCAGAGTCTGCTGGGGATCAGTCGTGAGCGCTTAAATTAGGAGTTGCTCGATCTGCTCGCGCATGCTCTGGATCTGCGGGCCCAGCTGCGAGGCGTCGTTGGACGTGATCGAGGCAGCAATCACGGGGCGCGACACACCGCAAGCGCGGCCCAGGGCGACCTTGGAGGGCACGAACACGTATGGTACATTCTTGTCTTCGCACAGCAGCGGAAGGTGCAGCAGAATCTCCAGGGGCTCCGTGTCGGCGGCCATGACAATGAACTCGGAGATGCCGCGGTTCAACGTCTTGGTGGCCTCGTTAGCGCCCTTCTTGATCTGCTTGTAGTTGGTAGCCTGCTGCACCAGGTCCAGGATGGACACAGTCAGCTTGGCGTCGGCAAGCGGGTAGGCCTTGGGGTTCACAGCGGCGTCAGACATGCTTCTAGTAGAGGTGATAACTTGCTCACGACCGATGGATCACTGCAGTGTTTTTTGATAGTGAACGGGTCCTATTGAAGTCGTCAGATTTTGCTGGCCAGCCAAAATGAATCGAACTGACATCAGCCATTGGTCCAGTTTAGCTGTAATTACGACACGTAAAAATGCTACCACGAGAGCAAGATATTTGTTTGGTTTGTAAATACTGTTTGCTGCAGTTTATTAGATTAAAGGAATCAAAAGCTATGACAACAAAATAGTAAATCATCATATATTGAGGTAGTATTGATTTCAGAGCAAAACGAAGTTGAAATTATGCCCACAGTAGATACGGGTACAAGTTGACAGCTTCATGACTTCAGAAAAGGATAGATCCTACGTGAGGCCATGGAGCAGCGTGTGTTCCTTCAGGTTGCGGTCCTGGCATCGCTGGCCACGATCAGTGCGTTCGTGGCATTCGGTCTGTACCGCAAGCGCCACCACCACCAGCACAATCAGCTCGAAGATGTGAAGCAGCCGAAGGAGGCGGCCTCCGCCTCCAAGACGCAGTCAGCGACACAACAACAGCAGCAGAAAGTCCCCGCAGCCTCGGCCCCCCAGAATGCCGACACCAAGCCGACGCCTGCCGCGAATATCGGGGAGCAGGAAGCCACATTGGCCACCAAGAAATACAAGGCAGGCGACTATGATGGGGCTGTGGAGCTCTACTCTGTAGCAATCTCAAAGTGCGAACTGCAGCAGCCGCTGGACGCTCGCAACCTCAAGGTCATGTACTCGAACCGTGCTGCAGCCTATGAAAAGCTTCAGGACCACGAGAACGTGATTGCCGACTGTACCAAGGCTCTGAAGCTGGACAAGCGCCACCCCAAGTCGTACCTGCGTCGTGCCAAGGCTCGAACCAACTCAGGTGACCTTCGCGGCTCTCTAGTGGACTACGTGTGTCTGTTGGTGATCTCTGAAGAGAAACAAGAGCAGGTCGACGAGAATTTGGCGCAGGAGATCAGTCGCATCCACAGCGACATCACCGCCAAGGAGATCGAGGACGCCCAGCAGAACAAACAGAACCCCACGCGTTACCTTCCTGACCAGTTCTTCGTCACGTCGTACTACTCGTCATTCCACCCGAGTGACGACGAGAACGACGTCGTTGCGGAGAAATCATCAGAGGAATACACGATCGAGCTACAAGCGCTCGAGGCCGGAAATGACACGCGGCAGCAACGTGGTTTGCTGCTGACGAAGCGAGGGTTGGCGTTGAAGAAGGAGAAGGACTATGACATGGCTGCCAAGGATCTGGACGCTGCATGTAAGCTCGTGCAGCCCGAGGACGAGGCGCACTACACTGCTCAGATTGAGAACGGAACGTACCACCACCTGCGTGGAGAGTTCGAGCTCGCTCGCAAGTCATTCGAGAAGGCTCTTGAGGCTAAGCCCCACTCCATTTTTGCCAAGATCCGCATGGGCGGTCTCTGCTTCGACCAGAAGGACCTCAAGAAGGCGCTAGAGTGGTTCGACAAGGCTTTGGCGGAGAAGTCGGAGTGCTCAACCGCGTATTTCCACCGTGGCCAGCTGCACTCGATCGACGTGTCCCCCGATGGAACTAGCAACGAGTCATCGATGGGAGCGGCATTGAACGACCTGGAGAAATGCATCAGCATTGCACCCGACTTCGCCATGGCCTACATCCAGCTGGGTGTTACCCACGCACGGAACGGCAACTTCCAGGGCGCGGTAGAGTACCTTACGACGGCGGCTCGCATCACGCCGGACGTGCCGGAGATCTACAATTACCTAGGTGAGACGTACATGCAGATGCTGCAGGCTCCGGGCAGTACCGTGGACCTGAAGACCGTGGAGGAGATGTTCGAGAAAGCGATCGAGCTGGACCCATCGTACCCGATGGCCTACATCAATCAGGGCAACCTGTTGGTGCAGAAGGGTACGGAATATGGCCACCAGGCGCTCGCGCTGTTCGAGAAGGCAGTGGAGATGTGTCCTCGCTCCAAGTTCGCGTACTGCCACTTGGCTCAGGTGTACATGGCCATGCAGGAGTATTCGCGTGCCATCGAGCAGATCGACAAGGCCGTAGCCTTCGCCTTCAGCAAGGACGAGCTCAATGAGCTGTTTGCCATCCGCGTGACGGCTGAAACGCACCAACAGGCCTCCGTGCTGCTCCACTAGCTGGAAGACCCAACCGATAACAGCCAAAATGTCCTTGTAGACCAATTATCGGTTTGAACAGGTGTTATACCCTTGTTATCTTGATCAATCTAAAAAGAGAGGGGTTGTCCGGTGCAAAGCACATACGTCATTGGCTGATCTTCGCGACCAAGCAGACTCCGTCCTCTTCATCCTATCCTCTCGCTATGACTCTCTCTGTAGCCACCGCTCGCACTGAGCTACAGCAGCGCGTTCCTTCCGCCGCCGCGTCCGTGGGCGTCGTCACCATCTGCGGCGGTGGCAATGGTGCTCACGTGGCGGCCGTCTACTTGTCGTCTAAAGGTCTGCGCGTACAGGTGCTGACGCGCCAACCTGAGCGTTGGGCGCAGACGCTGGAGTTGAGCACGACTGGCAGCAGCTGGGAGTCCAAGGGCGTTATTACGGGCCGTCTGAGTCTGGTTTCCAAGCACGCGAAGCACGTCATCCCGCAGTCCGACGTGGTGATCGTAGCAGCGCCCGCCAATGCGCATCCGACCATCCTGGAGCACGTGGCGCCCTACCTCAAGAAGGGAGTCAAGCTGGGCGCGCTGTTCGCCCAGGGAGGCTTCGATTGGGCCGCCAAGAAGGCGCTCGGCGAGGAGAAACTTGCCAACGTGGACCTGGTACGCACTGCTGGTGATTGCATGCTGTCTAGCAGGCCTTAACTGATACTCTGGTGTTACCGCGCAGCTCTTCGGTCTGCAGAACATCCCGTGGATCTGCAAGGCCACCGAATACGGGTAAGCTATTGCTAGATCGTCGGATATGTTACTGTTACACTGACTGATATGCTTATTGCGTTTGCAGTCACAAGTGCCGCATCATTGGCCCCAAGCAGTGCCTCTACGTGGCTTGCTACCCTGTGGAACGTAAGGATGAGGCGGCGACACTCATGCAGACGCTCTTCGATATCCCGTGCAAGACTGTGGCCAATTTCCTGAACCTGACCCTCACGCCGTCCAACCAGATCATCCACCCGGCTCGCTACTACGCGATCTTCCGGGACTGGGATGGCAAGAAGACCTACACTCACGAGGAGCTTAAGAAACGCGAGGGTCTTACGCTGTGTACGTAGTTCTACTTGCTACTAGTTTGTTGATCTCTTCTTAGCAATTGACATCATGTGATTATTTGATGCTCAGACGCCGATTTCGATGAGTTCTCGGCGGAGCAACTGACGATGCTGGACAACGAGCTGCAGCAGGTTAAGTACGCTCTTCTGCAGCGCTTTCCTGCGCTTGACCTCTCGGATGTGCTGCCCATGGGAGAGCGCGTGGTGAAGCATTACGGCAAGGACGTGACGGATCGCTCCTCGCTCCTTCAGATCTTCCGCACGAACCTGGGCTATGCTGGCTGTGCGACGCCGCTAACGGAGGTGTCGAAGGGCCAATTTCACCCAGCGGTCAACTCGCGTCTGTTCTGGGAGGATATCCCTTACGGTCTGTGCATTCTCAAGAACATGGCGGAGATGCTGGGCAACTTCCCCACTCCTCGTATCGACTTTATGATCCGCTGGCACCAGCAACACATGGGAGTGGAGTTCCTGAACCCCGATGGTCAGTTGAATGCCCGTGAGCTGTGGCGTACAGGCGCGCCCAACAAGTACGGCATCCACAGCCTCGAGGACCTGGTGTCAACGTCGCTGCCTAAGGAAATGCGCAACTACCGTCACCCGAGATCGCGCATTTAGAGTAAAAGGGAGTTGGAGATAGTGGCTTGAGCATTCGGTGTTGAAAGCCTTCGTCTGGAATACCTGAAAATACTACCATCTTGTGTATAGGACCCGAAGCTACGTCTAGTTATCCCTATTAGATGAGGCAATATGAATTCGTTTTAGGCGCCACAGCAGCTCTGGAAAGCTGGAACGTACTGCTGGATCATCAAGTGGGCGTCGTCCCTGCCGTAGGCCTCCATCGTCTCCAGTGCTTCAGTCACGAGCTCCTTTGTGGCACTATCGCCAGTGCCGAGGTGTTTGTCTTGCAGGATGTTGCACAATGGCAGTAGCGATCGATAGTAATCCGCCAACGCAGATCCGACACCCTCACACACTGCCAACTGCTGTAGAATCAGTAGGACACGGTGCACCACAACCTTCTCGCGGGTGCTTAGAGCGCTCTTGAGCTGCTGGACCACCTGGGGCAATGCCTTCAACACTCGAGTGTCGCGTCGACCGCTCTCCAGTAGCCCCATTGCAGCATCGAACGCAAACGACGGATACGGCTCCAGTGTCTCTTGTAGGCCACTAAGGCAGATCGGGAGGAAGTGCGCGAAGTCGAGCTGCTCCAAGTTTGCTATCCACGTTACGCGACGCACTCCATGACGAGTCTCGATTAAGAGGGGCAGATCTTCCTTCTCGAGATACTGACGGAACTCACTGAGCTTGGGCTTCTTGGACCTTCCTCCTGAAGTGCTGGGGCGGGAAGACCCCGCGCTCGAAGTAGACCTACCGCCCTCATTGGTGTCAAAGGAGATAACTTGGCTGTCACCTGCGCGGCCTCGAGACGCCATCGCTTGAGAGTCGTCTCGCAATGGTCGCTGTGCGACTTTTGCCAGGCTAATTCAGAAGTGACCGACGGGTCACTTGATGGCAATCGCGTACTATTGGGAATTACAGACAATGTTAAAAGCACCGTACAAGTACACGGTGTACAATGAGCTTTCCCCAACACAGTCAGCCGAGCAACTTCAACGACTGTCGTAACCAAACATAATGATGGCAAAATTTGCCATCAATGATCCGTGTCAGCAATATACATTACCGCTCGACGGTGCTGCTGTCTACATACGGCATGTGTGTTTGTCGCCACTTCGAACGCTATGCAAGTAGACAGTGAAGACATTTGCAGCTGAATCCACACTTTTCCATCGTAAAAAACAGCTTGTGCTACTACTGTAGCACTCGTCTAGACCGTGGTGCACAGGGTGAATGCAAATAACTAGATTGGGTCACGTACAGTAGCCACCACCAGCGTGAGCTTGGAGACTGGAGAATTCATCTGGACGATCTCCATCGTTGTCTGCATGTGTGGTGCCATGCGCCTCGTTGCTTTGATACTGTTTTTGCTCTTCTTTCAGCTCTTTTAGCTGCTGTTTGATCTGCTTTTGTTGCTGCTTGAAAAGTATCGATATGTTGTGGAATGCAACCTGGCGTAATGCGTTAACTTGGTTGGTAGCCTTCCGCTTATTACTGCAATTCACCTGATCGTAGTAACACAAAGTCAAATTAACTACATTGATGCTTGAAAACAGCGATAATGAAGTAAAGAATACCGTCGGGATAATAGAAACTGGGTTCACGACTTGGACGAAGTCACACAGCTCCGCGAAACTCGAATGTTCGCTGTACGGGATCCCATAGACGTGAATCTTGCCGGAAGGGTCCGTGCAACAAGTAGAAATTGATCGTGGATTCTTGCCACTAAAGGTCCAGCCCGTGGGGCGAAAAGCCACGATCTGGCGGAAACGTAGTCGATGTTTCGCAAGCAGCACTGTCAGGTTGTCCATTTGAAGGTCCTGCATGCGAACAACGTGTAAACTGTCATCATAAACACAGTATAACAGAACAAGTTAGCGCAGACCAGTATTACAACAAGGTCCAAGGAACCAAACATCGTACTTGGTCGCCGCGGGTTCCGTCGTCAGGAGCTGAATCTCTTCTGAGGGCCAGCCAAACGTCTCGATGATTTTCAGTTTGGCTTTCGACACGCACACCTTCTTCTGAAACTTTCGTGCGATCTCCATGAATAATCGTTCTTTGCCAATTGTGTAGGACCCGAAGAGGTAAAGCACTTTCTCCTGCCTGATGTGCTTGTCGACGAGCTCAAGAGCGTGATCAATAGCAACTTGCTGGGTCGGAAATGTGTACTTAGGATCGCAGTAGGTGGTATCGAGGTATACTCCATCCAGACGCTGGAGACCCACAATTTTGCCGTTATGATCAATAGTTTCATTTCCAGTTGGAATATGGGGTTGAAGCGCATGATACTCCAGCATTCTACGGTTGAATCGGAAATCGCCAGTGTGCAGATACGTCTTGCCGTCCTTCAGGCGGAATAGAATGATGGCGGAACCAGGGCAATGATTGGCGTCCATGAATGTCACTTGTACATCAGCAACGAGCACAGGCGTGTTCATTCCAACTGGGTGAACATACTTGCTCTGAACACCCAGTTCTTGTACGACGAGCTTTGCTGTTATCTCGTTGCAGTAAATGATGCCGCAGTCAAAGTTCTGGAAGAAAAGAACAAAAAACAAGTTAGCTACTAGTAAAAACCGACCAAGTCCAAGCCCTCACCTTGGTGAGACCTCCATAGTGATCTGAGTGAAAGTGAGTCAGGAAGTAAATGCTTGAGTTTTCTTTACAAGCGTACTGGAAGCCATCCACTATGAACGGCGGGTCTGTACCCTGAATGCACTTGAAGTCGGGGTACAATAGACGTCGTCGTTGAATTGCTTTGCGAGTGAACTTGAAAGGCACAGGGCGTTTCCGAGAGTTGAGCACTGCTGCGGTCTTGGAGCCTCGCATCAACACGTCAAAGACATTTGATCTCTCTGCAATAATAGCAAGAAGAAACCATTCCATCATCACTATGGAGTCACATCAAAAGCCTCTTAGTTCGTACCAATAGCAGCAACTGAAGTCTCCTCCTTCCCTGCCGATGACTTCATCATGATGGCAACTACATCTGGCGGCTCCTCCTTCTTTTCCAGCCTTCGTACGATGGTCTCAGCTTGCTCTACTTCCCCCATGTCTTGAGGTCGCACGCCGAACTTCTGGCCACACAGTTTCACATGACGAATGCGACGCATCAGATCGATCTCTGACATGTCAAAGCCGCAGATTTTGCACACGTAGCCGCACTCGCTCTCGCTCTCGCTGTCATAGTCTTCAGCCTCTTCCGCCATCTCCACCTGCGTTAGCTCCGCCACTTGCGTCTGCAGCAGCTCCGTCTCCTCTTCTACACTAATACTTTTACCGACTTCAGCTACCTCCGCAGCCTCTTGTCTCTTGTCCTTAGCGCCGCCACTCACCGTTTCTGCCCTGTCGAGACAGCGGTTCACATGCTCTGTCCGTTGGCGTTCATCACAACTCGAGAGATCCTGGCTGCACGTGGGACACTCATAGCGCTGCTCCGTCGATGCGGCATCTAGACACGCGTTTAAATGCGTCTCGCGATCCGCCAAACTCCAAGGTGCCATGTCCATGGAGCACACGAGGCAGCGCAGCAGCTCCATTGTTGCTACTGCAGCTTTTCGTCTGACAAGCGCCAAAATTATAGCCATTTGATTGGTCGATACAGCTGGATGTGGAAAAAAGGCTCAGCTTCAAGGCCGCATCATCACTTGAAACGCCGGAGCCAAAGCCGCCGCCGCCGCCTTCTCTCGCTGTTGCTACTCTGGGTCCTCCAGTCCCTCTACGTCGTAGCCATGACCAATCATCTACTCGTCCTATCAACAGGCCAGCACGTGGGAAAGACGACGCTCAGTCTCGGCCTCGTGAAGACTTTACAGGCCAAATTCCAGGGCACGAACAAGCTCGTGGCCTATTGTAAACCCGTGGGGCAGCAACACGTGCCGGTGGGCGACAATCTGCGCGTGGACAAGGTGTGTAAATGTACCAGAGACTACGGTTAAACGATAATTGTGGCTGACTTGTTGGACTGATCTACAGGACGCATACCTTTTCAAGGAGCACTTCGGACTGATACAGCACTACAAGGACATGTCACCCGTCATCTTCCCTGATGGCTTCACACGCGACTTCATCGACGGGAAAGTTACGTCCCAGCAGCTCATGGATTCCATCAGAGCCGCACACAGAAACTTGTACGATCAGAGCGATTTCGTCATCTGTGAAGGAACGGGGCACACTGGTGTGGGCTCCATCTGCGAGCTTAATAATGCACAGGTTGCAGGTAATGGAGACATAAGCTTTGAGTGCTGGTTGGTAAGGACGTTTGGACTGATAATATTGGGATTGCTATTGCAGCGGAGCTCAAGATTGATGCAGTTTGCGTGGCGTTGGGTGGACTCGGCTCCTCCTTTGATCAGCTGGCCATGAACCGAGAGATGTTGAAGCAAAACAACGTTCGGCTTCGAGGCGTAGTGCTCAACAAAGTCAATCCGAAGAAGATGGACATGATCCAGGTACGATGGGGATAGTGAGGGTTGCGTACGTTGGCGTTGGAATCTTACTAGTGTATCTTCATACCGCAGGACTACTACTCACGAGCATTGAAGCGCTGGGATGTCCCGCTGGTAGGCTGCATCCCCGATCTGAAGGACCTATCGTGCCCGACTATGGCTGACTACGCTAAACTGCTAAAATCGGATCTCATCTCTGGTACGTACGCTAGTACTGTTGATATTCCATTATCACAGGAGCCCACGCGTGCTTGTTTGCAGGCAAGGATGCCAGTCTGCGTTATTTCAGTAGCACGCGACTAGCGCTGGCCCCAGTGGACGGCACGAACCTCTTCAAGGCCATCCCGAACCAGCTTGTCATCACGGTAAGATCTACCAACTGTCTTCTTCACGGTTTACCAATTGCCTCACTCCAATTTATTGGTATCTGCAGCATAGCGGTCGTAAGGATGTGATCGACGCCATCATCGGCAACCAGGAGGCATCCAGTTCTCACGGCACGAATCTCAAGTCTGGTCTCATTCTTACCGGATGGAACCCGCCTACTGCTTGGCTCGCTCAGCGTCTGGATGCCGATAACATCCCGTGCATCTACGTCTCGCCGGACAAAGCAGATAGCTACACGATCACGGCTCGGATCGCGCAGTTCACGGCCAAAATCCGACGTGAAGACGTCGAGCGGATAGATCTGGCAGCAGACCACGTCTCCAAGCACTGCGACTTCAGCTTCCTCGAAGGGTAAGAGAGTCTTGACTCTGCAACTTGTACATTTTGCAGAACATTCATATGGCAAACGACCACTACAAAACACGAGAAAAAAACATACACACAAACTCCACATACGAAAACAAGCGACACACTCAAAAAAAAAAGCAACGCGCTCTCTCCTGTTGCCTTGGTATTCTTCTACTGATCTCTCACAACACACTCCACGGGGCATCGCCAAGAGATGCCTTCGGTCCTGCCTCGGAGTGCGCGGTTTTGTTTCATCTGTAGTCACCTTGTTCACCTTCATACCACAGCGGCAATAGCAATTTAAGAGGGAAGCGTCATCTTCTTGCCGTGGTATTTGCTAAACACAAGCAGAAAAGAGCATTAAATGTTAGTCGAGAGCCACAATATTGTAGAGTGCGGGTTGAACAGCTGTACCTGATGGCGTAGTAGTAGAAAAAGTCGACGTAAAGCGCCGTCTGCACCATGCCGGCGATGAACATGAGCCAGATGAAGTGGTAGGACGACTCGGTGGCGGCTCGGTAGATCCAGTTGAGCACGTAGCAGCCGCGGTAGGCTCCGAGCAGCACGACGTAGTTGCTTGTGAGGTTTTCCACTTCTCCGTGGCGTTGTAGCAGGATCAGCTGCGGGATGATAGCGACGGCCTCGAGGTAGATGGAGAAGGTCCAGAGGATCTCCATAACCTCAAACTGCTCGTTGAATACCAACGCCAATAGCGCGCAGGGCAAGACGGCGAACTTGATGTGCAAAAAGGCGTCGTGCGACTTGTCGTACGTGCTGCGGAAGGGCTCCTTGAAGCGGATAACGTACACGATGGCGCCCGAGAAGAGCAGGAAGAGCAGCTTCATCAGCGTGTTGTACAGACTCACAAAGTGGAAGAAGAGATCCACATAACGAGTTACGAACACCAGGAAGAAAAGCTCCTGCGACTTGAGCGAGATGCCTACAACAGAAGAGGACAGTTAGTGCGGGTCGAGTGAAGGCAAGAGACTTGTGAGAGGACGCACCGTTCGCGGAGCGCGAGGCCAGCAACTTAAGCAGCAGCACCAAGAAACTGGCCAGGTGTGCCATGTCGCCCACCAGGCGGAACAGATTCATCGCGGGCAGCGAGGAGCTCTAGCAGCGAGGTGACGGACGAGAGTTCAATGCGCGCGCTTTACGCAGCGACTTTGCTAATATCGAGTAGCCGCCCCCTGAACCTCGTTTTAGTGACGGTAAAGTGACATATGACGTGTCACCATCAACACATGGCTACATTTTTGGATTCTGTAGACGAAAGCGTTGGGAGTTGCTCATGTTTTGCGTAGTTGCAGGCAAGGGGCATTATGAGTACCGCATTGGCCTTAACGAGTTAAACTATGTGCTGAGAAGTTGGCAGAAGCGATCTCCTTGATGAAATTGCGAGGTTCAAATTGACACACAAAGGTTGCAAGCGCATTATGTCCCAGCGACGAGGTGCAAATCATGTACATCGTAAAGGATCAAGACACGTCTTTCAACCAAGCTATTGGTACAAACCAGCTCTTGCGGCGGAGTTCGCATTAATACGTGTATCACTACACGCAAGCTCGGTGAAGGTTCTCAATCATTTTCTTGCTGGGGTATCGTTTTACTTATCGCAGTAAGTTATAGTTTGTTAGTGTGCAGGGACAATCGCAGCCTGTGAACGAACGTTATAAATAATAGAAGACAGATCGCAGACTTCCCAGCCCTCAATATTAGAAAGTGGCCGTATTGCGCGCGCGAGCAGAACAGCTCGACAATGGAAGAAGAGGAAATGGAGGAAGACAAAAAAGATGCCGCTGCTGTTACAGACGCTGAGGAGCTGGTGGGACCGAATGAAGTCGTGGCTCGTGCTCTAGACGGGACCAGGCTCTACCTGTACAACCACCAGGTTCGCTGCAACGATGCCATATTCTTGCTTCTGCTATTTACAGGTATGAATTGTAACAAGTGTGGTGGTGCATTAGGCTGGAGGTCATACGGCATTTCTGCGTACTGGTGGGGGCTCTGTGTGCAAGCCGGTTGTCGCGCTGGAGCTCCAATTTTACGAGGCTCTAGCTCCACAATTTCCACAACTACGACCGTTTGTTCCTCAGTTTCTCGGGAAGGTCAAGGTTGAGCTCACGACTTCGATACCGAACAAGTATCCCACCTCACCGCCACCTCAGTCGTCCTCGACGTCACCAACGGAGCCGCTCAATACACCGAAGAAAATGCGGAAAGGTTATCTCGGAAAGAAACGACGTCTAGGCAAGTGCAATGCAATCGCAACTCCCACGTCACATGGAGGCTACAGTGCCAAACTGTGGCAACAGGAACGAGCAAAGAAGAACAAAAGAAAGGGCGACAACGGTGTTGCGTTAACACGAGCCGACAGCGGAAGTGTGAAAGACTACCTGGTTTTGGGAGACCTCACCCGAAACTTTTGTCGACCCTGCGTACTCGACATTAAGATGGGAACCCGTCAACATGGAGAGGATGCATCACCCGCCAAGGTAATATCACACACTGCCAAGTGTGCTGCTACCACGTCACTTGCGCTCGGACTACGACTCTGTGGCATGCAGATCTACGGCGAGCACGAAGGTACTTACACTATTTGGGACAAAACGTGGGGAAGGCAGCTCAAACCTGATGACATCGAGCCAGCTCTGGAGACGGTGAGTCAGTTATCCCTGGCAATATGCTGGTTCACATCTAATTCACCACGTGCTGATGCTTTACAGTACCTCACGAGCGGCTCTGCAATACGCTGGGATGCATTGGAAGAATTACTTGCCAAAATTCGTCAGCTGAAAAATATTATGGCCGAAACTACCGGGTTACGCTGCTGGGGTTCGTCGCTACTCCTTATATACGAAGGTGATCAGAGTTATGGACCACCCAACGCAGATGTGCGTCTCATCGACTTCGCACACTGTCAAATAAGCTCTTCACTTGATACACCTGACGAAGGAATGCTGCTTGGTCTTTCCAATATCGATCATTATTTGAGCAACATCGCTTCTCGGAAACGAAAGAATGAGGAAGCAGAAGAAACTACAACTAATACAGCAAGATTGCAATCGTAGCCTAAGAAATGACGCAGTAAGAGAAACATTTCAATCAGATTATCGTTATCATCGATAAAAGCTAGCTGTTAGACTGGAACTGTTTTGCTATGGTTCGGTACTCGGTCGCTTCTTCTGGTCTACCTAGAGTAGTGAGTAGTTGAGCACATTTCTCCAACAGAGTGCAACGTTCTTCTACATCTTCAGTCACTTCAAGTGACGTAGTATACTGTCGAAGAGCATCCTCAGCACAGTTCTGAGCAGCCAACACGTCTGCCAGTGTTTTCCGCGTGAGAGAGGAGTCCTGACAGGCTAATGATCGTCGCAGTAGCTTTTCTGCGCTTTCGAGACGATCAATCGCCACAAATGCATTACTGAGCTCTCGCAGTAGAGCTGGATTGCTGAGGTTATGCCTTATTGCTTGTGCAACAAATTGCTGAGCATCTTTTTCATCGCGAACACGGACAGAAGCATGGGCTGTGAGAGAATGAAGTGCCAGATATCCCCATACGTCTGGGTTCGAGAAGTCCAATCTATTGGCCTCCGCTAATGCCATCTGCGCCCGTTCCCATCGTTCGAGCCGAAGACAAGCAATCCCCACTCCAAGCCAGCAGGAAGCTAGGCGAAACTCGTCGCACCCTAACAGAAAAGTAGTCTCAGCTGTCTCAAACTGTGACGAATGCAAAAGTGCTAGACCGAGCCGCAAGTACAATCCAAATCGCAGCGCTTCTGTGTTTAGAGTTCCACGATGCTCAAGTGCTCGCTGCAGACACTCTATTGCCGTCTTCGTTTGAGAATCTTGTCGGAGATACACTTTTCCCAGAGTAAACCAAGCAACGGGATGAGATGCATCGATTTCTAGAGCTTCCTGCAGCAACTTGATCGCCCGAGAAGCAACGTCCTCACCAGCATCACCATCTCTCAAACACAGCTCGGCTTCCATCGCTCTTTTCATGACTCGTAATTCACCACTGAGTACGTCGTGAGGTTTCATATGACTGTCGGCTAGTTGCAGCGCTTGTTGCGTGACTCCCCACAGTTTGCACTCATGGGCGTATTCTGCTAGGATTATCCATACCGCACTCACACACGTAACATCTTTGTTTTTGACGTTACCAGTATTAGTCTGCAGCATTTTCTGTGCATTGAGTAGCTCGAACAACGTTAAATTGCCGGTCGGGTCTTTTCCCTCGAATTGTGAAAAGAGGTACGCAAACAAAGCGTGAGCCAGCGCACTGTGCTCAACGCTATTCCCGTTACCTGTTTGAACGTTGGCCTCTGCTTCAAGCACAGCGTTCTTCACGAAAGACTCCGCGCGTGCGAAGTCACGAAGCTCGTACTGCACAGCTACGAGAGCGATCAACGCTTGAATAGCGTGTGAATTGAGACGCAAGCACTGATGTAAAGCTGCTCCAGCCTTGTCAAGTTTTGCCTGACCAATACAGAATCGTGCGTAGTCGTACCAGACATTCATCAGTAGTTGAGATGCAGAATTCGTATCCACGTCAATCAGCTTGTGGCTTTTCGGGTGCGTTTGGATGTGAGCCGCATGCTGCTCTGCGTATGCAATTCGGTCCAAATGCAGCGTCTCGCATTTCTCGAAATCACCACTAACCTCGTTCTCCACAGTTTTAAGCCGCAGCACTTCTATGACGGACTCGATTTCCTTTAATGTCGGTCGCCCCTCAGCTGTCGCATGGGCCTTTTCCAACTGCGCGTTCGAGTCTGCATAGAATGTTTCGTTCAGAATTGCATTCACTTCTTGCATAAGAATAGTGTACAGCTGACCGAACTGCTCCTTCTTCTTCTCCTCCACAGTTTTCTCGTCTGGTTGGACATGCCCATCAGCTTCATTTACCTCCAAAACGACTTCACTATGAGAAAAGGAATCGCGGATGACAGGCACGATTCGCTTCTTGAGTGCTTCTTTAAACGAGTGGTATACACCTTGAGTATTTAATCGGTAGATGAGAGTCTGCTTTTTATCATCACGTAGAGCGGGAGCATTAGCTGCATAGTCACCCATCGCTTGCTTTCCGTCTTCATTGTTGCGAAACACCTCCTTATACTCGCGCAATAGACTTACCATCACCAGACGCAGTTCTGAACGCAGATCCCCATGGATATTGCGTCGTTCTTCACTCTCAGCTTCCAGATCGCGCGGAGAAATGAGCTGCGTTATTGATTTTGAGGGAGACTCCAAGACTTGTGGTGGCTGCAGAACTAGTGGTGTGTGCAATATCTCTGCAGCAATCTCGATCTGTGTTCCGGCACTCATTGCTGCGGTGGTTAGAGATGCTGCCTTCTGCACAGTCGTTTCGTAGTCGGCTAGAGCTGCCTGAAACCTCTTCTTGTCATCATTCGAAGGGGCTACTGCAAGCTCCTGCTCCAGGAAGGCTCGTGTAACTGGTGACAGAGTTCGTAGTGGAGCCTTCGGCAGAATTTGCGCGGTACCAGGCGCGAGAAGCTCGTTCAGATAGAGACTGAACTCGCTTGAAATGGCATCTATTGCTTTTCCGTTCAAGTTTTCGACCGGACTTCGCCGTAACGTTCCACCCACGTGTTTCTCCACCGTAAGAAATTCAATCAGACGGTCGACGGAGTTCTAAAAAGCATTATAAGTGTTAGTTCAACTGCATTGGCAATAGAAATCGACATCTAACACATAGGCGTTCCTTACCTTGAAAAGTAGTACAGATATTATGGCCGTTGGAGGAAACTGGACACTCCAATCTCCTGACAAAGTCGAAACGGGGGTAGCTGGTCGCTCCTCTTGCTGTTCGCCACCTGTTTGTGCCGGTTGAATAGCATTTTCTATCGCTTCAGGCTTCTCAGATCCCCCATGAGCAGGTTCAAAATGTAATTTCCCTCCCTTCAATGCACTAACATCAAATTTATACAGTGGCGTTGCTCTTTCGTCTCCACCGCCAACATCCAGACGGTTATCATTCTCCTCAAGTTGTGGCAGTGTGATCTTCAGCTCATAAGAAGCAGTATTCTGCTCTGATGTACAAAACTTAATCGCTTCCTCATTGCTCATGCATCCAGGAACTGTCCACTCAGCAGGCAAATTCAACAACCGAGGTGTATGAAGTTCCATTATTCTCGCGCCCAGCAGATAATCAGCCAGAGCCACGTCGCATTGGACGTCGAGATCAACCACAAACTTCTCTCCAGGCGATACGAATTCCACCTGCTGACTCTTCTTCCCACCTAAAAGTGCCGTTCGTAATGGCACGAGTGTCTTGCTCAGTAGAAAATCCGTCGCTCGAGTTCGGGATACGCCGCTGTAAAATGACAGTAGTAGCTGCGTTTGCACCAGTTCCTGCATGGCTTCAGCCGTGAGAGACACTGCTCTCGAGCTCTGGTTATAGTCCAGAGTCTGTTTGCTGTTCTGTGTTGAGATCGAGACGCTCCTGGTCATCATATTTTCGTCCTCCGCGGCAAACCAGACACTCTCAAGAGGCTGTTCTGGTGGCAGTACGAGCTGCACAAAGCACCAAATCTGGCGCTCTGCTGTCTCAACATTGAAGCTATCGGGATGCCACGCCAACGAGTACAGCGATACGGCAAAAAACCCGCTCGCGACCGGCGTCTCCATGTCGGATGTTCCGGCGCCGTCGATCCTCAAAGGGCGCCGTTTCAACAAAACATGGATGATGTGGCCCACACCAAATTGATCATCACTCTATTTCGCATCAGGAAATGCTTCGTGTGCTACGTAAGGGAGGCGCCGTCCGTGCGCGCCCCGTGGCTGTAGTTCTGCGTCGCTGGAAGAGCGAGAAGCTTACTCCACCTGTGCAGAAGCTTAGCGATGACATCCGACGCTCGCAGGAGGAAACGCGCCGCGTGCTGTTGCTAATCCGCACCTTCAAACAGGTACCACACACTGTGTGAGCGTATCTTCCGACTGATACTAATGCACACGCTCTGGTTTCTGGCTGTTAGTATGGACACTACGTCGCCCAGATCGACCCACTACAGAAACGTACGTCTAAAGGTAGGCTTCTGCCTGTAAAGTGAGACTCACTGTGTGCTTTAGGGGAAAAACTGCCGGAGCTGGAGCGCTGGATCAATGGGGATCGGTGGGTTGAGACGCCCTTTTTCGACGATTTTAATCTGCGCAGCCTCGCATCCAAGAATCTGCTAGAGCTCACAACGCACGGTGCGGACACGCTGCGGCGTCAGAGGATAATCATTCGGATACTTACGTGGTGATTTTCGAACAGGTTTCACTGCCAGTGATTTAGATCGTGAGTTTTTCATTGGTCAAGATCTCTCCATTGGCCCTGTAGCAACACTGCGAGAGGTGAGAGCTGGGCGAGTAGTTGAGAGCATGCAAACTTAGCTGACGGTGGTGCTACGTTTTTTTTTTGTGATATTTAGATCGTGACAGAGCTACGGGAGCTTTTCTGCGGACACATTGGCCTAGAGTACCAACACCTGCGTAACCGAGACGCTGCGTTGTGGATCCGCGAACGTCTTGAGAAGTATAAGGTGACTTCATGTAGTATTTTTTGAATGGAGACTCTTTTTGGAGTGGTTCATCGTTGTATTTTTTTGCACAGGAAAATCAATTCAGCAATGAAGAAAAGGTGGACATGCTGCGTCAAATGGTGCAGGCGGAACTGTTCGAGCGATTTCTTGGGCGGCGCTTTTCTGGAGCAAAACGCTTTTCTATTGAAGGGTGCGAGAGCTTAATTCCAGGTCTTTGTGAGCTTCTTGAGAGCGCCAGCGAGCACGGAGTGGAGGTTGTCCAGATGGGAATGGCTCATCGCGGTCGTTTGAACGTCTTGGCGAATGTCTTGCAACGACCGTTGCGGTCCATTATTTCCCAGTTCCAGCCGTATCTGCCCGATGAACCTGACTACCCGAATAATTCTGATGATGTTCGATACCATCTTGGAACATCGTCGGTTATTGAAATGCGTAATGGGAAGAACCTGGAAGTGACCTTGGCTGCAAACCCATCGCACTTAGAAGCGGTGAATCCGGTTGTCCTTGGCCAAGCGCGAGCTTGCCAAACGCAACTGGGGGATGATGGTAGTCGAGTAATGCCGATTCTGATCCACGGAGACGCTTCAATGTTTCAGGGATCGGTCCGAGAGGCGCTGGGGTTCAGCTCACTGGAAGATTTTAGAACGGGAGGAACGATCCACGTGATCATCAACAATCAAATCGGCTTCACAACGCTGCCAAAGAACGCAGATTCTGCTGTGTATTGCACGTACGTTGAGCTACCTGTGCTTTACAGTGAAGGCCTAAAAAAATGTGCCTTGTATCTGACGATGGCTTGTGATAATGTTTTGTTCAAAGTGATGTTGCTAAAGTTTCAAGGAGTCCAATCTTCCACGTGAACGCTGATGATCCGGAGGCTGTGGCGAAGGTGATGAGAATTGCTGTCGAGTTCCGCCAGAAATTTCAGTGTGATGTGACGATCGATTTGGTGTGTTACCGTCGTCACGGTCATAATGAACAAGATTCACCCGAGATTACGGCTCCGATCATGTATCACTTCATTAACAAGCACCCTACAGTGATCAAGCTCTATTCGCAAAAGCTTACAAGTGAAGGTGCCTTGTCACCGAAGGAGTATGTTAAGATGTGCTCCACTTTTGAGGACCATCTAGTCTCGGAATATCATCACTCGCGCGAAATCCATTCAGGATGGGACGATCCCGGGGATACGTCGTGGAAAACTGAGTGGTATGCCGACAGCAAGATTCCTAACTCGGAGACACCAGCCAACACTTCAAATGTTTGTGACAACAACGATAAGCAAATCTATGATCGATCAACAGGCGTTGACCAGAATTTCTTAGAAAAGGTAGGCAGCCAACTTTTCCGCATCCCGCAGGGGTTTTCAGCGCATCGCAAGGTGGAGGCCATTATGAACAACCGCTTACGTGCAGTTGAAACTGGTGCCCGCGTGGATTGGGCAACAGCAGAAATGCTGGCTTTCGGCAGCCTCTTAGTGGAAGGAGTTGATGTGCGCCTTAGCGGACAAGACTGCGAACGCGGTACCTTCAACCAACGCCATGCCGTCCTCTACGACCAGTTTGAAGCGCTATCTGGACGCAACTCATCGTACACTCCTCTCAACAACCTCGACGTAGAGGGAATCCGAAGTACGCTTCAAATGACTGGGTTAGAATCCGCGCGGCGGGGTCGTTTCGATGTGGTCAACAGCCCGCTCAGTGAAGAGGGAGTACTTGGTTTTGAATACGGATATTCCTTGCAGACTCCAATGGGTTTAACTATCTGGGAAGCCCAATTTGGTGACTTTGCAAATGGCGCCCAAACGATGATCGACACTTTTATCACTACAGGTGAACAGAAGTGGCAACGACAGTCGGGTATCGTGCTGAATTTACCGCATGGCTTTGAGGGCCAAGGACCTGAGCACAGTAGCGCCCGACTCGAGCGTTTTCTCCAATTAGTCAACGAAGACAGCGACGAGTTCACTGGGGAACAAGATGTCAATGCTGCCATTACTCGGACGAACATTCAGGTGGTGATCCCGTCCACACCTGCCCAGTATTTCCACGCACTTCGCCGGCAAGTATCCTCCAGTTATCGCAAGCCGCTGATCATGTTCACTCCCAAGTCGCTTCTTCACCACCGGCCATGCAACTCAGACTTGGCTGACTTGGTGGTGGGAACGTCGTTCCAGCGAGTGCTTCCACCACACCCTGATGATCAAGTTACAATGGTGAACGATGACGAGGTGAGACTGATTTATTCATGATGACTTATGAAAGGTACGAATGCTTTGACTTTGGTTGTGTAGATCCGCAAATTGGTGCTATGCTGCGGGAAAATCTACTTTCCGGTGCGCCACGGAATGCGGAGCCGTGGGATCCGGGACATCGCTACGGCTCGTATCGAGCAGCTTGCTCCGTTCCCGTTCCACGAAGTGGCAGACTACATCGCTCGTTACCCCAACGCGGAGATTGTATGGGTCCAGGAAGAGCCGAAGAACATGGGCGCCTACAGTCATGTTCTTCCACGGTTGTTGACTGTGCTAAAGTATCTGGATGATCCCCGCAAGTTTTCTTACATTGGACGTCCTCCCTCCGCTTCACCTGCTACTGGACAATACGAAATCCACCTTCAAGAGATGAAGACGATCGTCGACGAGGCACTCGCATGAAATAGCTAGGGTTGCATTTGTAGAACGATCATACAACCTCATACTTTCGCAATATCATCATATCATCAAGCGCCAGGCCCTGGCAGCCCAAGGGGGGGGGGGGGGGGGGGGGCTAATGACTACTTGTACACATTCCGCTCTATGGTTTTCAAATCACATGCAGATTTCGTGTATTTGGTGTCAAAAAGCTGTCGTCGGCTTCCGCTGATGGTTAACGTTTGGCGCGGTACTGCACTTCTACTAGCGTTTACAGCTTCAAGCATGGGCGCAGAAGTCTGCTCTGCAACCGCTGGCGACGCCACCGAGGCAGCAAGCCAAGAAACGCGGACACTAAAGGTAGCAACGATACCAATTTCAGAGCAAATATTTACTACTTCGCTGCTTCCGGGCGAGAAGGAGACTTCAGGAATTGATGGCCATGCTGCCCACAGCTCGACTGTAATACCATTTATTCCACGCACGGCCTCTTTGTCCAAGCAACTGCGGGTCATTACGGGCCTTATTGAACGTAACCGTGCAGGCGGTATCCAGTCTTTTAAACTCTCAGTTAACGACGCAAGATGGAAAACTCCACTACAAGCAGATATGAGAGTGGAAGAAATACTCATGCAGTATGGACTCCAACCAGTGCCCACCCCAGCTACAGGAAATTGCCAATATTACGCAGTAGCGATGTCTCTCCTCGACTTACACTTCGACACACCACAGCACGTTGAAGCTTTGGAACAAATGACGCAGCAGTTGAAAGGGGGCATTGAGGAGGCGATTCGTCATGGTTACGACGTGGAATTTCCGCACGATATTCGACAGGCCATTTTGGTGAGTACTCAACTGGATGCCGACCAGCAGGACCTCACTATACCCGAGACGGAGGAGGAATCGGATCTGTTTTTCCTGAAATTATTTCAAGGCATCGCGGAGTCTCCTTCAGGAACGTCTGCTTTTGTGCCGACGGAGTTCTGGGGAACTGAAGTTACACTGCGCATGATGGCAAAGCTACTCCAACAGTCGATCTTCGTGGTTAACGCTCCCTACGGTCTGCAGACGCATGTCGATTATCTAGTCTACAAGGCCGAACAAGTGACAAAAGACGGGTACGAGCTGAATTCAGCAGAACAACATTTCATCACCAGATCAAACATCAAGCTGTGGTTGAGACAGCTTCAGCAAGCGTGCGAGGACTCCAGCTCCTTGACAAACCCACCGATCGTGCTCCTGTTCAGTAATTTCCACTACAGTCGACTGCAGTTTGTCGAACTCACGAATGTTGAAAACGATAGATCAGAGTTGTAGACAAGCTATTCGATCGAGAGGAGCTTTTTTTTCTGTCAGTTTGAGCGCGTACACATCGTTTGGTTAACCTGAGGAAACTGCGTGTTTACCTGTTTTTACTTTTGCGAGTTCCGCGTGTTCAGCGAGCTCGGTGGCTGTTTTCTATCGGCGGTCAGACTGAGCCAGCGACGCAACTTGCTTGCAGCAGATCGAAGACTTCGCTCAATCGCCGTTCAAAGAGAAGTGCTGCGTGCAACTTGCACCGCTAGGGAGTGGTCGATACACGTTGTCCTTTGGTACGTTTGATTCACCAGCTGCCCAGGTATTGATGCTTCAGTGGTCCGGTGGCGTGTTACTACGCAGTCGTATTTGCACGTTGTAGATTCTTTTGCACTAAGTTAGTGACTAACCTCTCAATTAAATAAATAATCACCGTAAACTAACTCCTTTTTTGAATCGCTTTAGTTTTCGAACTGTTCACGTGACTCGCAGGGATTCACGTCGCCTCTCTCCATTATGCCTTCGCTTCCAGCACGAGATACGGTCTATTCAAAATACAAAAACTAGGCACTTGCATTCCCCATCTTCGACCTTGCAGTGACCAGGTACTGTAATAAACGTCCGGGTGTCCAATCCTAATCCCTTCGCCTGCTATCTCCGCTCACTTCACTTCCGAATTCGTCACGAGGGCCACTGCATCAGACTCCGCCCCAACGCTCCACTTCGTCTCAAGAACCCTTACATTTAATCACCATGGTTAACGTCTGGTACGCCGGTGCATTGTTGGCCCTAGCTGCTGCCAACGCGAACGCGGACGTCTGCGGAGATGCCTCTGTGACCACCACGGACGGCATCTCCACCGTTACCCAGTCGGCACCTACGACGACCTCGGCCGTCTCTCCGGAATGGACACTCAGCTCTCTCAAGCACCCCACCATCACCGGCCACCGCGGTGCACCGGGATACCTTCCTGACCACACCATTGAGGGCTACACGCTTGCCATTGAAACGGGCATCGATGTCATTGAACCTGACCTTGTCAGTACAAAGGACGGCGTGCTAGTCGTCCGTCACGAGCCCTACATCGACGGCACCACCAACGTCGCTGACCACCCAGAATTCGCTGACCGTCTCACCACAAAGTCAGTCGACGGTATTCCAATTCTGGGCTACTTCGTCAGCGACTTCACACTCGCAGAGATCAAGACGCTGCGTACCGTACAGCCGCTGCCCGAGCGCGACCAGAGCTATAACGGACTGTACGAGATCCCAACGTTCGAGGAGGTCATCCAACTTGCGCAGAACAAATCTGCCGAGTATAACCGCACTGTTGCTATTTACCCGGAGGTCAAGCACTCGAGCTTCCACAAGGGGCTCGGATTGCCTATTGAGAACACTATGCTCGAGCTACTGACGAAGTACGGATGGAACCACGCCGACGCACCCGTCTTCATCCAGTCCTTTGAGACCGAAAACCTGCGCGAGCTTAACGAGGTTACTAACCTCACGCTCGTGCAGCTCATCGACGGTTTCGGCAATGATCCACTCACAGGCGAAGTCATCTTCCAAGCTCCGTCCGACCGCCCGTACGACTGGACTCTGGCCAACCGTACCGACTACTTCGGGTACCTCACCACGCCCGCCGGTCTGGCTGAGGTGGCCACGTACGCCGACGTCATTTCTCCTTGGAAGCGATACCTCCTCAAGGCCGTCGCTGCCAAGGTGGATGAGAGCGGCAGTGCTGTGGACTCGAACGGTGACGGCAGGATCACGGACGCTGACTATTCCATCATTGAGTACCCGAACATCATCGAGGACGCGCACGCCGCCGGTCTAAAAGTGCACACGTGGACGATGCGTGACGAGAACTACCGCTTGGCTGCGAACTACTCTGGCAACGCGACGTTGGAGTACTTTGAACTGTTCGACATGGGTATTGACGGTCTGTTCAGCGACAACTGCAAGACGGCTGTGCCCGCTCGTGATGCGTGGCTGGCCCAGCAGTAGATGATCTACTAGTACTAACGAAGTATAAGGTAGCACACCTATGTAGGCTACGCTTGCACCCTGTTTAAAATGACACCTATTCAGTTTTTAAACACTTATCTGGTACTTCCAGACTTGTAGTATGAGCTGGTGCTTTAGAATTTACAGCAGCTGCATCCAAAATTGCTGGTGCTTAATCTTGACCCAACGAATTCACATCTCCGAGTAGAGCTTCCGATAAAGGGACTCCTGCTCGTGGCGCGCTTCAAGGTACGCTGCGTGGGCTGTAGCATTGGGCTCCGAGTACACCAAGTGCGTGGTGTCCGGTGGGAACGATCCCGACTCCTTGAGGGTGTGAAGCCCCAAGTACGTGCCGATGAGCACCGCAAGACCACGTGAAGTGGTTTCTATGGCGCTAGCCTCGAGGATCAGCTTCTTCCCCAAGCAGTCGGCAATCATCTGACGCCAAACTGGTGATGATGTGAGTGCGGTTCCACTCACGACAACCGTTGCGTCCAGATCGGCAGAAAATGCTAACAAAAAAAAAGAGAAATCGGTGAATTAGTCAAATGTGAAGACCAAAACTAACACTTTGTTCTCATATACGCCAACGTACCGAGAAGAGAGAACAAAACGCCGATACGAAGAGCGATTGACTCCATTCCAGCACGAAGAAACTCGATGGGAGTTGTCCACTTGTTGATGCCACTGATAGTGCAGGTTGCGTTTTCCAGCCATCCTGGTGCACGCTCGCCACTCAAGAAAGGTAGAATAGTGAGACAGTGCTTCGTCGGGGCAATCTTCTCCAACTGAGACGTTAAATCTGCACCAGGGAACATATCGTGAACAATTTCACAACTATTTCAACACAGTTGCAGACATATGAACAAGGCTCACCCTCATCACTAAGACGAAGTGACTCGCGGAAGAACTTGAATACTGATCCACCATCGCTAAGTGCTCCACCGAGAAGGACGTGGTCTCTACCAATACGATAGCACCACAGCCCCTTGGGAACTTTGGCATTCTTCATGGCATCTTCACTCAGAACAACACGAAGCGCAGCACTGGTGCCGATAGTAACAGCGATGCGTCTGGTCAAGCACAACATTTCGAGTAAGTATACCCCCACACGTAACAATATTTTCTGTGCCACCACTTACGATGCATCAAGGCATTTGGATCCAATGTTGGCCGCAGCACCGTCCGAGACTCCAAGGAAGAATGGTACAATCTCCAGCTCGGGCCATCGTCTCGCGAATTTTGCATTGAGGCCTGAGAATGGGACGGAGGAGTCCGCAACCGGAGGCATCTTGTTGCTGTCCATGCCAATCAATTCCAGCAACTTTGAATCCCATTGACTGCGTCTGAAGTCCAGCAATCCCATCCACGAGGCCTCTGAGAAGCTGATAGGCAGACAACCATCTTGCTGCCCTGCAGTGGTCCATTTGCCGATGAGGTAGCCCGAGATACTCTGCCATTTAGTGACGCGCTCGACCAATTCCGGCTCTTCCTTGTGAAGACGCAGGAACGTGGCTGGCGCATACGCCGGGTGGATCACCGTCCCTGTGCGGTTGTGAGCCTCATCCAACTCGCCGCGTGCTGACAGTCGATCCTGTATCTCCTTCGCCCACTCAGCCGTTGCCTTCCTTCTCCCCGCATACTACAAAAACGAAAGGAGTCAGTTAATACCCACGTTGTGGCTTATAATATCTCCCGCTGCTTTCTCACCGTGTATACAGGGGTGACCACACTTCCGTTCGCGTTGATACCCAGTACATTCATTGCGAAGGTGCTGAAGCCCACACCCACGATCTTCTGAGTGAGATCCGTGACGCGTAGGAACTCCATCGTTTGGTCCAGTATCACCTCCACTGAGGCCGCGATCTTGGCTCCATCCGCCTCTCCGTAGACGTCTATGGAGCTCACGTGCTGCTGCTGAAGGGACCCGCCGATGAGAGCCCATTGCGCCTCAGAGACCAACGCGAAACAGCTAGCACGGATCGAGGAGCTCCCCACGTCCACTACGATGACAATAGGAAGCCCCCGATACTGCTGTGGCTGAGAAAGACCGCGGAGGTATTCCGCGTGCTGAAGACGCTGCTGATGGGAGCGATAGAGCCACGCACAGCCCGCCGAGGATGCCGCGAGTAGCGGTAGGATCAACTTCATGTTGATCAGTCTGTGAAAAGGAGTGAAAACGTCATAAAGCACTTTTCCTGAAAAAAAAGTTCTTGCCTTGACTGCTCAGCCACTTTAATAAAAAAAAGGATCAAAAGTGGTCCGAAACCAATGCGCACTTTTTCTATACAAAGTACTTTTTATTCAAAAAGCCATTTTATAAAATGGTTTTTTGTGAGGTTTTTCACACACTGGCTTCCAGCCATATTTATTACTCAACAACGAAAGTTGTAAGTAGTAGAAGTAGTAGTAAAGTAGTTCTATGAAAATGTCGCTTTGCCGTTGGATGGCATTCAGACGAAAAAAAACCATTAAATTTTTAATGGTTTTTTTTCGTCTGAATGCCATCCGAGCCAATCAGCATGCGTAGCGACGAGATTCTGGAACTTTGTTGATATTGGCCAATCAGAATCCATGCTGACCATTGTTTTTATGTTAAAACGCCACCGTTTTAACAGCCTGTTTTTGTCTTGTTGCAGTTAAAACAAAATGCGTACTTAACCAGAATCTCGGTACTTGTCGCCATCAAATTAAGTTTTGCTATCTGACGATGCTGCGCTGCTCTCGATCTCTATCTCGCGCCTTCCACGCGTCTGCTGGCCGCCAGGCTATCCAGACGGTCAACGTGCCGTCCATGGGCGACTCTATCAGCGAGGGAACGCTCGTGGAGATCGTCAAGAAGGCTGGAGACGCCGTGCATGCCGACGAAGTGGTGCTTGTGCTCGAGACTGACAAGGTATTCATTACTATTGGGGCTTTTACTGTGACGCTGATACACTAACACTTTAACTGCTATAAGGTGAGCGTGGATGTGACGAGCCCCGTGGCTGGTACCGTCGTGGAAGTGCTGGCCCAGCTAGAAGACAACGTGGAAGTGGGCAAGCCGCTGTTCACGCTGGACGACGCGCTGGCCCCCAGCAGTTCCAGTTCATCTGCACAGACCTCCACTTCCACGTCATCGGAGCCTGAACCCGCTGCTGCCGTTGCTGCTTCTTCTGCGACTCCGTCTGGACATCGCGTGCCGCTCATCAAGTTCCTGGGCAAGCGTTCGCTACTGCCGCCGAAACCATCGCCACTCTCGAAGCCACTGGGTCTCAACCTGCCGCCGTCACCATTGCGCTCGGTGCCCGTACAGCCGTCCAGTGCTGATGTTCTGCCTTTCAGTGATGCCAAGCGCTTGCCGCTGTCACCCGCTGAGGTGGAATCGATCAACTCAGGTCTCGCGTTCCTGTAAGCTTGCAACCATGCAACTAGATGCTGTTAACAGCTCTGGAAGTTTGCTGATGTCGATTTCAACAAGAGACAGAAGGCGAGCCGATTCAAGATCAAAATACACAAAAATCTTACGCATGCATAGATATGGTGGTTCTTTCAAGCTGCCATCGTCACACAGAGACAACTGCGGCAGCAGCAAAGAGTTCGTGTTGTGGACACACGCCGCCGCCGATAGCCCATTCGTTGCATTCCGGTACAGTGCACTTCTTCCCGCCTCCGTGAGCTTTGCAGTAGCCTCCGCCACGGTTCGTCTTGACGCATCCCTCAGTCTTGCAGCGACCTCCACCGCCATGACGAATACAGTGGCCTCCGCTGTTTGCTTTGCGCGTACAATCCGGAAAGTTGCAAGGCTTCGTGCCTCCGTGAGCCTTGCACAGTCCTCGAGCCTGTCCGAGACGCTCGCAGCCCTCCACGGTACACCGAGGCTTCCCACCGTGTGCACAGCATCGTCCAAAGCGGATCTACAGTAACGAGTGGATTATTAGTTAGCAAACACCTCTGCAGGACAACATAGTGTATACTCGTACCTGTTTCTTGGTGCAGTCCGGGAAGGTGCATGTGAAGCCGCCACCATGTGCAAGGCAGTATCCGCCTCCTTGGTCGTGTTTGTCGCACCCACGACGCGAGCAGCGCTTGCCTGTACCTCCGTGTTGCTTGCATCGACCGCCATTGAGAGCCCAATTGCGACAGCCTTCAGCTTGGCATCGTCTACCGCCACCGTGCAGTTTACAACGACCTCCACCAACGCAAGGTGTAGTACACCCCTCCACGTAGCACTTCTTGCCTCCACCATGAGCAACACAGAGACCGCCGCCCTTATCCTTCTTCTTACAGCCTGGTACCTTACAGAAGTAGCCGCCGCCATGCGCCTTACACTTGCCCTGGCCTCGGTCATACTTCTCGCATCCTTCCACCTTGCAGCGTGCTCGTCCCCCGTGGCCACTGCACAGGCCGTAGCGAATGGCCTTCTTGGTGCAGCCGTTCATCGTACAGTCTCGTCCTCCACCATGAGCCAGACAGAGTCCTTGTCCAGCGTCGTATTTGTCGCACTTCTTAACGGAACATTTCCGGCCTCCCCCATGAGCACAGCACAGCGCTGATGTGCCCTGAGCTACTCGTGTGCAGCCTGTGACTCCACAACGTTTGGAGCCTCCATGATCTGGACATGTGCGTAAGTTAAAGAAGGCACAGAATGGTGTCTGGCAGCGGTATCCACCGCCATGGGCGATACAGAGGCCGCCTCCCTGGGCGAACTTGAGGCAGTTCTCGAAGCGACACTGGTAGCCGCGTTGGTCCGCGGCACCCGGACCCTCGCCGTCTGTGGTGGCGGTCTCTGGATGCTGCTCGTCTGTCTGAGTCACCTGATCTTCTGCGCTTTCCGTTATCGTCTCCTGGGACTTAAAATTGACGATTTCCGGTTTGGTGTCGGCCTCTTCTCGAGGTTCTGAATTGGGTACCGTTGCGTCTTCGCTCTCATCGCCTCGAGGCAGCAGTGGCATGGTGAAAGATGGAGGCAAGTCCGACCCGTCCATTCCATCATCGTCAAAGTGCGATTCACCCTCCGTACCGCCGAACAGCGCCGCCGACGCTGTCGCCACCGCGCACTCTTCCTCTTCGGCTTCCATTCGTCAAATATAAAATACGTGATACATTTATTTGTAAATAAACAAATTATTTTAATAAATATTAAGTTATCGGGGCCGAAAATAATTCGGGTTCTTCACCACTTTCATCATGGTCAGCTTCGGACTGGGCGCAGATCACGCTCAGCTCGGGCACTACCGGGACCTTCATCACCGTGGCGTTGACGTGGGGCATTGCCTATTTCCTCGGCATCACCGTGGCTGGCGGCGTCTCCGGCGGCCACTTGAACCCCACCGTGACCGTGGCTGTAGCTGCACTCGGCATGCTGCCATGGAAAAAAGTGCCGTTCTACCTCCTCGTACAGCTATTGGACTGTCGGCTTCGGCTCGCGCGTGTTCTCGCTCAACCACTTCTACTTCTGGATCCCGCTCGTGGCCCCGATTCTTGGTGGTGCTGTCGGCGGCATCGCGTATGAAGGGATGATCGACTACCACCACCTCACCCGCTCGCACGGCCAGTATCCGGAATTCCGCTACTAGCTTAGGTGTCTTCGCCGGATAGTTGCCACGTATGGACTTCGCGTCGATATACTAAGGCAACGGCTCAAGTTAATATCTTACTTTCTTCATGACGTGACACCTCATTGCATTCAGGAATTGAGCAAGGAATATCCGGTTGGCTAGCCAATGCTATGAACGTGCTCAGCTGGATACCATACTCAAGACCCGCCTGAGGGCTTAAGAAGCTGCGCAGTCTGATGCTAGCAAGTTGAAGTGATATCTCCTAGTAAAAACGATAAAGTCAGGACCTAATCAGGACCTTGGACCTTGATATCCAGTGGTCCATTTGCCGATGAGGTAGCCCGAGAT